TCAAGTTGGAAGCTGATGCTCTTACCGTTGATATTAACTTGTACATTGATGGGAGCATGACTTATTGATTTCACAGAGAACAGGTTGAAATCCGGCTGCGAATCAGTTTGAGCATTTTCACTGGTAGAGTGGTTCATTGGTTGGGTTAGGTAGTCTTGGTGAGAGTTAACATAGTGCTGCTTTTGGTTGCGGTACTGTCTTGACTGGCTAGATTTAGCAACAGACGAAGACTTTGCAAAGCAGGCCTTGGCAATGTGACCTTGCTTACCGCACTTATAACAAGTTGCTAACTTGAACTTGCACCGATGAGATGCATGGGGACCTTTGCATCGATGACATTTTTGATAATTATTACTAGATTTAGATCTAGGATTTGAACGAGCAGGCTGTTTAGCATAAGTTGGAATGCTCTGATGGGGTTGATGTTTATTGACTAACCTGCTGTTTACTGCATGGATCTCTGAAGGTGCTAAAGATCTCACCGCATCTGATGACTGCTGGATTGAAGTTGCGAGTTGTATTGCTTTTTCTAATTTTAGATCTGACTCGAGCAGCAACCTTCTTTGAATATCAGGGCTGTTTACACCTGTCACAAACTTTTCACATAGTCTGTCAGACAGCGTATCGCCGAATTCACAAAATCTACTTAAATGACGTAAAGCAGCAACATATTCTGTTATTGACTCGTTTGGTTGACGAGTCCTACTGTCAAATCTAGCTCTACATAGAAACTTTGATGGGGTAGGCGCATGGTGGTCTGTTAGCAATTTGCTCAGCTCGTTAAAGCTCTTGGTATCTGGACTAGCTGGTGCGCATAAGTCCTTTAGTAGCCTGAATTGTTGAGGCCCTATGACTGTTAACAAAACAGCTCTCTTTTTGGCTTCTATCGTCACGTCGTTAGCTTCTAGGTAAAAGCTTAACCTCTCTAGGTAATCTTGAATGATTTCATCATTCGCATCAAATTGTTTTATTTGGCCATACAGCGCCATAATTCTAGAAATAATTAGCTAATAAGCTCTAGCAAACCTCTTTTTTGCGTAAGTAGGTGCTCTTTCTAGTAGATGTTTATCCTTCGTCGCCAAATGACGTGGATTGTAATGACTGACGAGAAGCCGCGTTGGTTGTTAACAGCCTTTATTATGTACAGACGCCATGTTGCAAAGAGAGGAAGAGAAATGGCGAGAGAGAACTATTTATAGATAACAACATGTAAGGGACATCACTCAAGATAACAATATAAATATAATACTAATACAGAGAGTGAGTTCCCTTGATCTCACAATTAACTCAATCTATTACAGATTAGATAATAGAGCGAGATTTTAGATCTTAGAGACAATTAAATGCTTTATTAGGCCTATTATGACTACTTTTGATTTATTATGGGTGTATTTTGAATCGAATGTAGATCTAAAGTAATTAAATTTAAGTAAAGAAGTAGATTCTAGATTCTATGTCTACCCAGCGAAGCCAGGTATTAGGCCTACTATTAGATCTTATTATTCTTATTATTACTTTTGACTTTGTCTTTTACTATTAGTATTTGTGAAGGTCGAGCATATTTGTTTTATTAATAGTTATCTTTTATAATTAAAATGAAGTTTATTATTTTACTGTCCTTACCTGAAACAAAGTATCGAGAACTGCATTTGATCAGATTCGGCTACTTTAACTCTAAACGCAAACAGTATTACTAACAGTATTTTTATTTAGAAATTTTGTCCACATATTTATTTATACGAAACTGTCAATAACAGTATAAGGATCTTCAATTCCTAAGAGTTCAAGTTTTTTAACGTATTTTTCCTTTTCCGCGGGTGCGGTTCTTTACATACAGTGAACGCGTCCAGCGCTGGTGAACACGTCCAGCGCTGGCGAACAGCTGATTGTGTTTACGTCGGGTGTACACCACTGTGGCGGCGGGCGTAGGTATCACGAACGGACGTGACGTCATATGAAAGGACTCTATTAGTAGGCATGTCTATCCAACCACACCACACGCGTCATCAAGTTCAATAGCTGCGCCATCACGTTCAGTAGGCGCGCAATGGTTTTTAGTCATGTTAATCTATTGTAAATAAAACATGTAAAGTACTGAAACAAATTTCATAAAAAACGTTTTAATAACAAGCTTTTATGTAATAATGCACTAAAATGTAGAAAATAAATTATAGACTACTATTTAAATAACTATAAAGAAAAGCGTGGGTGTCTTCCTTAACATTAGTAAAGGTATCCAATAGATACTAAAGTGACCCACGCTTTTCTTTATAGTTATTTAAATAGTAGTCTATAATTTATTTTCTACTTTTTACTTAAAATTTTAGTGCATTATTACATAAAAGCTTGTTATTAAAACGTTTTTTATGAATTTTTTAAAGACAACGATTCTGGTGCCGAGTCAAAAGGTAGGATGTTTTTGTTTGGAACTAAGGACAACCTTAGGTTATTGGAGGTTAATCAGCACTGGTACATGGATGGTACATTCAAAACAGCTCCTGCATTGTTTTCACAAATGTACACAGTCCATGCATTAGTCAATGGACAGACTGTTCCATGTGTTTATGCTTTACTTCAGGGGTCTCCAAACTTTTTAGCCCAAGGGCCGCATTAACTATCAAATATCAGTTCGGGGCCAGAGTTTCTTTAAGGCATCTCTTCAGGGTCGTGACACCCCCCCCCCCCCCCCCGAAGAACGTCTACAACCATCCCCCCCCTCCCCATCGAAATATAATTTATAAAGAAATATACACAAATTTCAAGTGTCCACCACCCCCTACCCCCCACCCGAGGTCCACGTTTGCTTTCAAATTGTTCTTCGCGTATTTTATTCTTGAAAATGCTTGTTCACACAGGTATGTTGTTCGAAAATTTGAAAGGTACTTTGATGCCAACGTTTTAACGTTAGGAAAGTCTTCCTTGTGCAAAAACGTATAAAAACCCATCCGCCCTTCTTTGAACGTGTCTCTAAGGAAGTCATTTTCTTGCAATTCAATGACCTCCAGCTGCAGTTCATCTGGGCAACTGGTCACATTTGCTTCAAATGGGCTTTGAAACAGTCTCACTTCTTATGCCTTTGAATCCAAGTAAAAAAACCGCTACTGAAACTGCAGCTGGAGGTCTTTAATGATCTCGTATATAATGACGTGGGGAATTCAGCGGTTTCTTCAGCCGTAAAGACCTTACACTGCTGAAAGTGTGTCAAGTTGTTGGCCAGTACTTGTTCCAAAAACATGACAAGTTTGGATCTGAAGGCCTTTAGGTGGGTTTATAGATCAGAAACTAGATTTCACTCTCTTGCCGTTTTAGGTTCAGAAAATTTAAATGACTAACTTATGTCTGCAGCAGAGGCCAATTTCTATACCCACTCTTCATCAAACAATAATGGCTGTGACTTGCCTTTACTATCAGGAAGTCACCTATTTCTTTTCTTAGATACTCTGCTCAGAATTTTCTTGCAAAATTAGCCATCTTACTGATGTGAAATATGGTAAATCTTGCGATTTTGTGTTTGTCTCTGAACTATCTATGGTTAGATATAATCTCCGGTAACAGTGTCATACATTCTATGTAGGGAAGCCAGCTCTTGTGTTATGTTCATGTCTTCATCCACACCTCTAATGAACACAAGCAGTTGAGAGGTAGAACAGCTGCCCAGCGACTCATCAATTGCATTGAAAAATAGCGAAACTTGCTTGCATTTTTCGCTATTTGAGTCGCAGTGTTTTCAACAATGTCTGCAACACGGCGAGTAATTGTATTTGCACTCAAAGCTACATTTTCAAATAGTTTTGAATTTTCTGTGCAAAGCTCCTGAGCCACATCCAACAAACATTTATTCAGTGGACAAAAAGATCGTCGCGGGCCGGATAAAATGACCTCGCGGGCCGCATCCGTAGTTTGGAGCCCCCTGCTTTACTTGATCACAACAAAACGCAGGAAACATACACAGCACTCTTACAGCAACTAACGGTCATGAATACAAACCTGCACCCAATTTCTATCATGAGTGACTTTGAAATGGCTGTGATAAAAGGTGTTGAAAGGGCTATGAGGGAAACTGATGCTTTTTCCATCTTATCCAAAACATACAGAAAAATACAGGACTCTGGTGGTCTTCAACAACTTTACCAAGTTGATAACGAATTTGCTCTCAATCTCAGAATGCTACCTGAGTTGGCTTTTGTGCCCACTGAACACATTAGTAATGCTTTTGATAAATTATCGGAAATTTCCCCCCAAGAAGCAATGCCGATTGCAGACTATTTCGATGACTACTATATTGGCAGACCACAACGTCGAGGTCGGAGACAACCTATGTTTCCATTTGATATGTGGAACATGCAATCACGTGCAGAAGATCATATGCCAAAAACAAACAATTCATTTAAAGGCTTGTACAGATGTTTCCAGTCCAATACGGGATGGGATGTTGCCACCCAAATATTTTGAAGTTCATTGACTGTATTAAAAAGGAACAATCGCTCCAAGAGGTTTATTGTATACAGATAAATTCAGGTCGCTTACAATCTCTCTTTTTAAAGTTATTATGATACAGTTTTTTCTAATGTTTATTTTGTTTTTAATTTTTTATTTTTGCTATTATGTTTGGTTTTCCTTATATAAATGGGGGTATTTGTCCCGGTTTTTTTTTAACCGGACACCCTAAGCTACAGAGTTTGAAGGGATAAGCAGAGGTGTCACAAGGGGGAGTGCAGACTGCACCGGATGACATCCTTGGGGGGTGTGTGACACCAGCAAGACTAATTTCCTTGTTACATCATATGTATTTTAAACGAATAAAGCTTTAAAAACTGTATATCCGACTATACCCTGTAATTTGTGCGATTAATTGATCACTACGTATTTAACTTACCTATTTCCTTTTAATTTTCACGAGCATGAAGTTAAACTACATTATCCATTCAATCACCATCATAACATTAACAATACTAAAAACGAATTAACAATGAAAATAAAAAAATACCAAATTTTATTTACATTTAAAAGGTAAATAAAAATACCCATGAGAGCTCTTTCTTGCAGACCAAGGCAAATCATAAATTAAAAAACAATTGTTCAAAAAACAAAATAAAACCACTCGGATCCTTTTCAAATTGCTTCATGTTTATGTATTGGGTGTTTCCCACTTAAAAAACTTGCAGCCAGATTTCCTTTCATTGTCAACGCCAGGGCTCCCGATGGAACAGCTGAAGAACCAGCGGCCTGTATTAGGACCTTGGTTTTGTACTAGTCTTCTTTTAGCTCTGCGACCACAAGCACACAACGGGGGTGTCATTTTCATGGTTGTTGTTTGGGGAGTGTTAAATTTGGGGGTTTTAAAATTTGAATTAACACCTGTATTAATTGGAGTGGTACTTGTCATAGCACATGCATGAGAGAGCTGTGTTCTTAGTGAGACTGGTTTCTTTGGGTCTTTTAATTTGGTGAAGGAAGGAGTTGTGCTTGTAGTAGCACAAGCATATGAGAGCTTTGTCCCAAGCGACACTGGTTTCTTGGAATCTCTTAATTTGGTGAAGGTTGTATCTGAAGCTGATACACTGGAATTATTGTTAGTGGTTTTAGCTAGTGGTGTAGTATTACACACAAAAGATGAAGAACCACATGGGATTTGGGATATTCTACTTGAATTTACATTAGCAGAAGATTCACATGGTAAGCTGTTTTTATTTGTTGATTGTTTGGTGGACAATGAATTCCTCCAGTTAGGATTTAACATGGGAAGCTTGCTTGAGGCTTTTTTACACTCAACTAGGCCAGCTCTCTTTGGTGTGTTTTCTGATACTGTGAGTGAGGCTTCTCTACAGACCTCTCCATCATTGCTAATCTTCTTGTTACTTATTTCATTATTTAACTTAGTTATGAGTGGCTGAGGAGCATATTGCACATTCATATTTCTCTCTGACAGACGAAGAACTGAAGTTGAATTGCTGCTGGCAGTTTTAACACTAGCATCTTCATCTTTAAGTACATGAAAAGAAGCTACTGGTCCTACAGAAGCTCCAGCAACCGCACTGGATTTGTTTGGCACAGTCTGAAAAAAATATTTATAACAAAATATTAGCTGTCAGTTTAATGTAAGTAAAGTAATCAGTACAATTCTAGTTACTGGTATTGAAGTTTTTTCAATTGCATTAACAAAAGTAAAAATTTTGAGTTAACTAAAATTAAAAAAAAAAATTAGTAAAGATACAAAATAATAAACTGTTAATTTTTATTTTTAAAAGTACTTTCTGTTTAATATATAAAACTTAGGTCCATCTATACAGAGTGCTTATAAAGGTATTAAAAACAACGATCCAACAAATCTTGAACAAATAGCGTTAGCAAGCATTTTTTGACAAATTAATTTCATGAAAATAAGAAAGGGTTGTTAGACTTTCTACATTACTACCTTACAAAGTTATTTCTCAATAAAGAAAAATTAAACACATTCAGATGCAAATCAGTAATTTACTTGACAAAATCCGACAACTATTTATGCACTGTATATTTGTGTACCATCGTAAGATTCTTTGTAATGTCCATTACACACCCATCCCTGATCATTCTCCATGCCAGTTTGGCAGTGTTTCGAGCATCATCCAACCCTGAATGAAAGATTTTAACAATAAATTAATTTAAATAAACAAAAAACGTTGATAAAGTAATAGTAGAAACATTCTGTAAAAATATGAAATCATTAAATACCTGAGTGCTCCCTTCCACTGAAAACAATTCCCAAGTCTTGAAGTGCACCATTTAAACCATCTGGTTTGCGACTGTAAAATTTCTAAAGAAACATAATTAAATTAGATCACTGAACACAAAAAACAGGTTTTCTAAAAACTGTTTAAATAACTTGTATAAAAATACTATACTCCCAAAATTAATTATCAATTTGAACTAAGATAATTATTCCAAAGTCAGTAAATATTAAATTCTATGAATTGAAGAGAGCTCTCCTACAATGTCATTTCAATAAAATGTGTGATATTACTACCCTGTATGTAGCTCTCAAGTCTATCCATCTGTCCAAACCCGCTGTCTTTGTTATCTGTTTTCTTTTGGTTTCATAATGTAGACACACAGCCAAATCCCAATCTACATATTAGTCAAATATTGTAATTAATAGCAGGGATACACACATTTGCATTATATAAATAAAATACGTAATTTCACTATTATATTATAAATGTTATTTTCAGGCAGAGCAGTTTACACAGAAGGTCACTGTTAATAGCCTTTGTTTTTCTGGTAATTTTCTGCTGTCTTAACTATTTATTACTTTAAAGAACAAATAGATTGTATTAAGTTCTGTAAGTACATTTTGATTTGGGTTTACCAACAAAAAGTTAATAACATATTTGATTAGCTTCAGTCATGACTAAAAGTGTGAACTCAATGATTCTTGTACTAACCTGACCAAGTGACAAACGCAGCCACTTTTTCATCACCAACTTTTTCCCGGTCATCAGCACATACAATCCCTTTCTCATCCTTAAGTTTCTTCAGCCAAGTAGAAAATTTCCTGAGGCACAGTGACAACGGTATACCATTATCTACCTGGTCCTATGACAATAAAAACAATAAAAAAGTTGACACATAAAAGAAGACAAATAAATTAAACATTCAAAAATGTGGACTTGGAATTAATGTGGAGCATACCTGAGTGATACCTGTGAGCTTTTGACAAAACTCACTTAAAAATGGTTTCTCACTTGGCTGCAGGTAATAATGGAATTCACTCTCAATTTGACCATTGGTTGTATTCATTAAAACAGCAGGAAATTCAACTGTTAAAAAGATATTTAAATGCAAACATGAGTAGTAAAATCTAAATTAAACGTGACTTGAGGTGTATAACAAGAAAAACTATAATCACAAATAAATCTTGAATATTGTAATTACAATCAGGGATTGTGCACATATTTAATTGTGTAACTAATAAAAGCAATTTTTTAAACCAACATAACATTTTATAAGGTTTCTGTTGACCGACACCCCTGCCCCCTTGTTATAAAATTCCCTTTCACTACACACACAGAACAATGATTCATTATGAACTACATTGATCAAATCAATCAGTTAAACGATGTTACTAATATTTTAATCTTGAAATATTTTTAAACATTCACTGCCTGCAAGTCTTCAGCAAAGGAAACATTCAATATGCATAAACCTATAGTGAACTTAAGTTTAAGTCAAGTAATGGGGATTATTGATTAAGTGCCATGCTTTGAAAAGAATTTTGACATGAGGAAATGAACAAGGAACAGCACTAAAATATGCAGCATACTTACTGATCTCTTGAGGACTGTATTTATCATTTTCCCAACATGTTGACTCAAAATCAATTACAATCAAGTAAGCAAATTTCTGCGCTAGGATAAAAAAAACAACAACTGCAGATAATGAAACTGAAACAATCAAGCCATAACAATACAGAAAATTTTTCCCTAGCCAGAAGAATGCTTCTGTTAGTTCCATAATTAAAAAATCCAGAATGTTTACATGTATCACTACATCATTTGTGACAGTGGTGTAGGTTTATTGTTCCCACCAAGCTGCTGCCATATCAGAATACATTTAGTTGAAAAGTACCCATTTGCATTATTAAAATTCAGTAAACATTTAAAAAGTTAACAGTTATATATTAAAACTTTATCACCAACATTTAATCTCATAATTAGAGGGAAATTACCATTAACTGGAGTAACTAGACAGCTTTTTTTACAGGTCCTAGAAGCAGCTTCAGGAAATGGACGCTTTCTCAACAGACCTAATTCTCTGAAATCATTTAAAAAAAAAAAAAAATTAATGCAAGAATGCTGTTATTTTATTTTGGCATATAGTAATTAAACAACATAGTTATTAGGCCTAATCATTTTATTATAAAAAGCATAACCATAAATATTATGTGACTATGGAGTGAAGAAACAAAAAACTAAACCACACAATAAAAGATTAGGCCTAATTATATTTTAAAAACAAACATACCTTGCAAGCTCTTTAGTTGATTTGGCCATAATGAAGTTACTGAGTTTTATTATTGTAGATACAAATCAACTGATTTTTTTCCCAACACTGTGATGCTCATGTAAGGTGTTTAAGTCTAATGATAACATTCTATTAACAAAAAACAAGATTATTGATTAGGTGGATGGATGCCAAAAGAAATTTTGTTGTGATCCAAAAAAACATTATTTATAATTTATTAACACCTTCATAACATTTAATTAGGCTAGAAAGTAAAAATTTAAATATTTGATAGTAAAAAACTTTAAAAATAGAAAATGCAGAATATTTAGGCTATATATTATGATACGCTTACTTTTTTTAGGACTGCATATAATGAGTTAAATAAATGAGGACACTAATCCTAGTGTCTGAAAATGCCCTCTTCCAATACATTGTTTAAAAAGGGTAGTTACATTTTTATTATAAATTAGTAGCATAATTTATAAGGCCTACAGCTTAAGCACTGATTATAAGTTTAATAATCATTCCAAAGCTAAGATCACCTAACACCCCGTTTTCACATACCACAAGTTTAGAACACAAAACCTTTCAAAGTAAATAAAAACATCATAATATAATAGTGAAAAAGCAACTTTATTATTTAAATGGAGGCTGCATCTATTTGAACCTGGGTGCCAATAGCCTCAGCCGCTATTTGGACCAGCCAATAAAATTGTTAACAGTTAAACATTAATTCTTTTAGGATGCAGAATATATCTTTTTCTGTTATTGTGATTTTCTTCTTGTAATTCTAAACAATATCCTGAGATCTTGATTTAAATACCCGATATCATTCCTTACAAATGTCAGGGCGAATGGGAGTCGTTAGGTCTATTATATTTATGTACGGCCTATTGTATGAACTTCTCTGAACGAGCGAATGTTGAGCACCCATGTAAAAATGTGCTTTATTTTTTTTCTTTTTCTCTGTTAAATGTATAGGTCTATCAGTCCAAATTAAAAATAAAATTGTATGAAATTAGCTGAATGTAGGCTACAGTCTACAGCTAACGGGCCGTTTTCTTCAACAATAATATCTCGCATGTGTCGTAGTACACTATATTAGAAGCAATATATAACATGTATCTAGCATAACACCTGGGGACAGTTGGAGAGACTAGCCCAGGACAGAAAGTTGAGAAACGCCTGGAAAGCTCTTGTGGCTTATGTCCCAGGAGGGGCGACAGGCAAACCTAAACTATCAGCATCTGAGCTTGAAATAATTATACATTAAGTATGATAGTACTGTTTTAAGACACTACAACACTCTTTATTACTCCCTGGCTACACTTTTTAAAAATAGTTATTTAAACAGAGTATTAAATTGAGTATTATAATATGTGAGCCAACCTGCGGCGTAGCATACGCCGCTATTTAGTTTTTTTATTTTCTACTTTTCAGTAATTCATAATTTGTGGATTCGACACAACCAATGCTACGACTGAAAATATTTGCTTCAAAACACTATCAGTAGCTCGTGAAGCAGCAGCCTCCTCAGTGAAAGCAGCCTCCTCTTAGTTACCTCCCCTAAGTTTCAAATAGTTTAAAAACTAAATTATCTGAGCCTCATAGCGGTCACTTATTTGACACGGCGTTAGAATTGTTAACATTTTGTGTGAACCACAGTTCACCTGACAGGTGGTGGTGGGAGCAATCTGCCTAGAGAGGAAGGGAGGGGGAGACTAGGCGCGTTTATGTGGTGGTGGCCCGCATGGTCTCCACATAGAGAATTTTATATATATATATATATATATATATATATATATTGATTTAGGTCTAAAGAAAATAATTTATTTTCTCCTTTTTAGTGCATTTTTACATAAAAGCTTGTTATTAGGGGTCATCCATAAATGACGTCATGCTTTTTTTGACGATTTTTACCTCCCCACACTCCGTCACACGTCATCACAAAAAGCCAGACCCCCCCTTAAAATGATGTCACACCTCAACCTACAACCTCCCTCAAAATTGCAGTTGAATTTTTTTAAAACAGTGATATTTTTCTTAAATCTTGTCTAAACTATTACTATTTATTAAAACTGTTATCTAAAATGCGAAATAATGTCTACAATTCGTTTTCTAACATTGTTGTTTTATAATGCAAAAGTGTGACGTCGCAACATCTGAACCCCCCCTCCCCCTCATCACACATCGTCACAAAATTACGGACCCCCTTCCCCTATGAGTGTGAGGTCATTTCTGGATGACCCCTTAAAATGTTTTTTATGCATTTTTTTTTTAAATACAATAATAATTCAATAGTTGCATGACTAAAAACTAGTGCTGGATAATTGGATAAGACTTAATTATAATAATTACCTAACTCATAAAAAATAATTAGTCATCCTATTAGAAGTGCCCGAAATTCTGCTTATCCATTTCTATCTCTGATGACAGACTGAGGAAGCAAGTTAAATAAAAGCTTGTAAAAAGTAGTTGCTAAGAGTAAGTAGTAATTGCTACTAATATTAAGTACAAAGTAGACCTAGCTGCTAGACTAGAAATCTAGTGTCTAGTCTAGAGTAAATTAATAATAATATGTTGTACTGTTTAAGTAAGTCAGTACGTAAAATAAGACGTGGCTAGACTCGTATTAATTAGTAGTATTACTATTAGTAATGTGAAAGAAAGTAATTAAATTTTAGTTTACCCTAGCCAGTTAATAATAATATGCTAGGCCATAATTATATCAGTATCTACTATCTAGATTTCTAGTAGATCTAGTAGGGCCTATCTATTAGTATCTACTTTATCTAGTAAAGTATTTACTAACTACTAGATCTCTAGATCTAGAATAAGAATGATAGAATCTGATTGAAGTTAATTTTACTTTAGTTTTACTTTAGTTTACGACAGTTTACGTGTGTTACGACATCTAGAATCTAGATTATTCTAGATCTAGTACGTACAGATATGTCTGAATGATAAATTTTAGTTTTACAAATCACCTCACTCCGACCTCACTCATTTACTTTAGACTTTAGTCAACTTTTACTTTAGTGAAGTTTAGTGAGACATTAATCTATATATATAATTCTCTTCTGGGATCAGTTAGAAAACAAGCTGCAAGCGCGCCTTTGCAGTCCCCTCTCTTCCTCTCTATCACTATCACTACCACCCACACATGATCTGGTGAGCGGTGTTCACATTTTACAATCATAGAGACGGGTTTGGTGACGGCTATTAGGGGCAGATAATTTAGTTTGAAACGATTTTAAACTTAGAGTCTTAGAGGAGGTAACTAAGACTAAGAGGAGGCTGCTTTCACGCGGGAGGGGGGGTTTAGTGTTTTTAAGCAAATATTTTCAATGGCAGCATTGGTACTGTCGAATTCACAAATTATAAATTACTGAAAAGTAGAAAAAAAAACAACTAGATTCTAGATCTAAATAGCGGCGTATGATACGCAGCGGGTCGGCTCGTTTCATATAATTAATTATAATTTGCGGCTTAGCCCTAGGGCTAGGCCTAGAAGGCTAGGGTTACGGCGCTAGTGCTAGGAATATGGATTATGTAGCTAGTCTCATAACGCGAGTTGAATTACCTCCCCTGACCCGCTTTTTTATGGCCACTTTCTAGTTCGTTTTTTTCGATCGCGTCTCGGCACTGTTGCTAAAAATAGCATTCGCGCAATACCATACGGGTAAATCTGTTTGGCGTCTGCTACACGTGATAGATCGTTGAATGGCCGACAAGCTGATATAAAAATTATTGCGACCGGATGCGATTTTCGTGGAAATTGAGCTAGATTTAGCAAAAGACAGCTATATTTGTGTAAAATATTATTATTTATACTTCTACTTACACAAATATTTTGATAACTGCAGTTCAGCCGTCCATTTTTCTTTTAAAATGTATCTTTAGAATTTCTGTACCTTTTGGCAATCTGTCAGGAGCATTTGCGCACTAAACCCACCCCCCTACGGCAGATCCGATTTTTTTCCCAGTGAACTCGTACTGACCTCCCACATAGCTAAGATACTGATGGGAAAGCCTCTAAATCTGTATTCCTACTAGAGATCTAGAAATAAATCTAGATCGTGGAGTTTTTATAATGACTTTTAAATTGAATGTCTCCAGTTTAAGATATTTTTTTTTCAAAACATAGCTACTTTTAGTACTATATTTAAGTATTTCAAACCCTTTTGGTAGTTTTTTTTCTTAAACTTAGACCTAGATCTAGTGATTAGATATCTATATTTTGTACTTATAACTTGCAGGTCTATTAAAATAATAATAAAACAGTTTGCTTGATAACTTCATTAGGTCATTTCATAAACACAAATGTTATAAACATATAAAAATCACAAAACCATAGGTAATATCTGAATTCTGTAGCCTACCTTACATTTAAGCTAATACTGAATTAAAAAGAAATTACATTAAGGTTTGAAATTAATACAACTTGTAATTAAGAAAGAAAGCTTCAATTCTAAATACTACAAGATATAATAACAAACAAAATGAAACAAATTCAAAGCTTTTTTCAACTCATTTAGTCGAAAAGATTTCTATTTTTTCCGATATTGACCAAAATAAGTTTTTAAAGCTTAGGCCTAATGTTTTTACAAACATAACTCAATTTTATTAGGCCCCTGTAAACATTAATTAAGATTCCTCTGTAGACAAAGCAATCTATTTGGCAGATGAAGTAGAGTTCATGTTTCTTGACCTCAGCATTTGAAGTGATTGTCCGTGTGGTCAGCGATATTCACTTTACTTTTTACCTTTAATTTCCCCAATGTATATCAGGTACCCATCAGAAATGGGTGGACTAATTGAATTTTATTAAACAAACATTTTGATATAGGCCTAGATCTATAATCTATAACATTCCAAACATCTGTTCTGTAGAATTTACCTTTCTGCTTCCAAATGCGGTATTTTCCAATTGAAAATTCATCACAAAACATACAATAAATTATATAAATGGCATTTTATAAATTTATAGGGAGATTGTTTACACCGGTGTCTGATAATGGAATCTTCGTTAAAAAAGGGGTGTTAGGTTACTGGTAGTTAACTAAATACACACATGGCTGGATAATGTCAATGCTAACCCTGTCCCTAACCCTAACCCCAACCCTGGTCCAACCATACGCCTAACCCTAATTTCTAATTATACAATTAGTCGAGATTACAATACTACACTAACAACCCAACACCCCTTTTTTAAAGAAGATTCCATTATCGGACACTGGTATCTATAATCATCCAATTTATATAAACTATTTACTTTCACCTTGGTGTAAAAAAATGTAGGTATAAGCAAACTGATTTCAATAGTAAGAAAGAATCATGTCTTTTCTTGCTTACTAGCTTTAAAACAAGTGAATTTGACTTTTTACCTGCGTTTTTGGTCGCGTTTCTATGCAGATAGATCTGCTAGCCTAGCCATAATCTAGTTAGTCTCATATAAATTCAATTTTCTTCAAATTATAAAAAGAATAGCATATAGATTATAGATTCTAATTGTAGAGCTTTAAAAATGCAATCCAACAGTACCAATTTTATTAATTTAGCATAATCGGTTGATTAAATATAATTTTTTTAGTGTCGCAAATAAAATATATAGTAGTATCTGGATCTAGATTTAGACTCTAGTTTAGATCTAGTAATATCATAAATCATCTTTAGAACAGATTCTAGTGACAGATACTAGACTAGATACTAATATCTAGAATCTAGATCTAGATTCTACTGACATCTTCGTAGTGCGGCAAATATTTTAAAATAAAAATAGATACAGAATCTGATGCCAGATAAATATTAACAAAGCAATGTCAAGACGCAAAGCCTCTTAAAAATAGATTGTGCTTTTTAAACAAAAATATTGTCTAGATGTAGATTCTAGATCTAATCTAGATCTAGATCTAGATCCAAATTTACATGAATGATATTATTAAAAAAAAGAAGAAAAAACCTGAACCATTTAGCCAATATATCTAATTTAAATTTATCTATACTTGGAGTGAATGGGCTATGTTATTGTTAAGAAAGTGATTGTTAGTGATTATTCAATGGGGTTGTTCATCCAAATACTTAAAAAATAATATTATTTAAAATAAGTTTGTGGTCAAATTTTGTAAATTCAATTTTTACTCACTTCTGTACTGCAAGGTAACGATTTCATTTCCAGAAAAAGTTTTTTTGGCCAACACTGCAATGTCTAATTTTTAAATTAATTATTAGCCTGATGAGTCATCAAAATAAATTTAAAGGTTACTTTTTTAAAAAGTAGAAAAATATATATAGTTCTTAGTGTATATAATAATTTATCTATATATATAATTCTCTTCTGGGAGACATTAGAAAACAATCTGCAAGCGCCTCATTACAGTCTCCTCTCTTCCTCTCTATCACTATCACTACCACCCCCACCCTCACATCAGAGGCGTATCTAGGTTTTCGTTGTAGGGGGAGCGAAAAGAGCAAAAAAAGGCGCCGAATTTTTAACACGTTCTATATACGTGTATTATATATATATATATATATATATATATATATATATATATATATATATATATATATATATATATATATATATATAATTACCAGCTGTATGTCATTACTTCGCTATGATGTAAAATAAATTGAAAGTAGCACTCTGAAGAAATAAGAAAAAACACATAATATAGGCCGACAAAACAAAAATTGTATCAATCTAAACAACAACAAAAAAATCTACACACACTACAACCAAAAACAATGAACGTAACACAATCTTTTTTGTAATTCTTTTAAACACAGTTCTTACATAATAATTCCTGGGAAATTATTTAAGACAAGTGATATAGGGGAAATAATCACTCTCTTAATATAAATATGTATATATCTGCACATTTAATTATAAATGTCAAAACAAATAATTAATTACTTTAGAATATCAAATTGTTTAACACTATTCGTTTTTACAAAATGTGTTTGTCTATAATCATAATTTAATATATCGTCATCATGAATGCTAATGTATTACAACATAATAAAAGTTTTTAAAATCAGAGTTGGTATAAAACCACGCTTTTCGATATGATAGAAAAACATCAGGAATAACAGCCTACATTTAACTAAATATCGGTCTTTTAGTTTAGATCATATATTTTTAATTAACTACTGCTTATTTGTGTTCTTTACAGATCATTTTTTAACATAGTGATAGCTATGAGTTAGATCACTGTATTGATCACAAACCTTTTTACTGGCAATTGCCAAAACAATATTCACAGAGTTTTACGTTTAAAAAGCTAATTTTCTGGCGGCATGGTACTTTGGTACATCATTACGCGTTTTTCTACATGTACTTAACAGATCAGTTCGGGGTGGGGGGGGGGCTGTGGGTTCAACTTCATTCAGCACTGTCCGGTCACTTTAGTTCAATTATCCAACCCAGTGTATACCTTTGTGTGACATTAATGTCGCTCTACACAATTGTGGTGGTGAGGTGTGTGTGTGTGGGGGGGGGGGGGGAGAGATAACCAACTCAGAGTGAACATAGCATAAGTTTTTAGATGACTGTTCCAAACATACATATATATTACACAAATATATATTGCACACATATATATTACAGAAATAGATTTAAATAAGTAGCAGTGGTATTATGACAATATTTTTTTTTACAGAGGGGTCCATTGGGGAGGGGGGTTGTAACTCTTTCATATAATTTGTAATCGTAATCACTATCGCTCGAACTGTAAGAATACTACTACTTCATCGTGATGACGTTGTTGACCTTGTCAAAATTTCCCCACCACTACGCAGTTTGCTCACAAGTAAATTTAAATAGAGGTGCCACATCAGTTGTATTTGTTTCTGTATTGTAATTTTTTAAAAATTAATCACACGATTCAAACTGTATAATATATAAAGAAATTATGTGTGAAGTTTTATGTATAACATTTTCTAATTCAATTATTCGTAAGCAAATACATTATACAGTTGCCTTAAACTTAACACCTCTCTTGCCAAGTTGTACTACCCGTAGAGGTTTTTTAAACATTGCAATGCATTGTAATGGTTATTTTTAGAATGGCAAACTGATGCAGCTGTTAATACGTGTTGTAAACGTAGACACTACTAGACTAGTACAATAATGCTTAATTGCTGCATGAAAAGAAATCTTGTGATTTACATAGATGTGCCGACCAAAAATATTTTTTGAACAAATATCTTTTCTGTCTGTAGGGTAGAATAGTTTTTGTGTATCTATAATCTTAGCCTATGGCAGCACTAGGTCCAGCTATCTTTATTATCCCCAGTGTTTCTTCCAGACTTTTTTCTCCGGGGGGGTGGGGGGGGGGGCACTTGAAATTTTCTTCGGGGGGGGGGGGGGGGGGCGGACACTGTTAAAAGTATATATTTTCTATATAACTAAATTATCTGCCCCTAATAGTCGTCACTAAACCCGGCTCTGCTTGTAAACATTTAGAGTGAACACAGCTCACTAAGACCATGTACTATATTGAATTCAGTACTACTGAGTATAGGAATTGCTCAATTGACAATTAGCAAAGTGACTGACACTGAAGTGAGTGGAGTTCACTGAAGTTTTCACACTTGATAGTTGATACCTAATCATGGTTATTAATAATATATATATAGTCATTACACTCATTACTAATGAGTGATTAGTGAGTCATTGGTGTATAGAGTGAGGATCTTAAGCTACTGATTCGCTTTAAAGCAAATATTCATATTCGTTAATAAACTAAATGAAAACAAAAACAAATATAAAAAACTTTCTAATAAGCTTTTAACTGCACTGTGAAAATAGAAATTTCTTTTATTTTCTGTTTACTTTTTGAAATGAATTTAATCAAAATTCGTTACAGAAAACAGTTATAAGTAATGTAAATACTAAATACACATTTAATAGTATTAACTATTATAACTACTGTTTTTCATCATTCAAAGTTATTAGTTACTAAATATATTAATATTCAAACTAAAGTGTGGAGAACAATTTGTATAGTCATTACTCTCTAGACCCTCTAAAGTATACATGTGGTAAGTGTAAACACTTTATTAGGATTATATTTGTGTTTTCTTCGTAAGAAAAATGGTTTGCAGTTTCCTTTTATTATTTTACCATTTTCATTACCTTAAATATATGAGTGTTATATAAATAACACATATTCAAAAGCACTAAACAAAGTTTTAAACAGGGGCTAATCCATCCAATAGTGACCTCCCATAGACCAACTGCTTTTTATTTGCAGTATATATTTCTAGAAGCAGAGGACTAATTATATTAAACACTGTCAAAATAAATTGACAATTTTTTTAAAAGGCAATTTCCATGATATTATGTTAGGTGTTTCATTTGTTGAAAATCAGCATTCATATTTTTATACTATGAAAAAAGTTAAAATTGGTCTGTAGTGCTTTATCTGGACTTTAGGATATGAAAAGATTAGCTGACTTATAATGCTTAATCCTGTTTCTCTTACTTATGTAGTAAAATTGTCCTCGCTTCTCTGATAATTTTAATAATAATACTTCAATTTTCAATAATTTCTAAATGTCTCGTGTAATTTTAATTAAAGTTGTAATGTAATGTTTAGATGGCAGATTTGCTGAAAATTTAGTGACTGCCACCTTTACTAATTATTCCAGCTTCTTACTTTCAAAATATTCATTAATTTTCAAACCATTCATTGCAAAAACAATAAATCAAAATAGCATGTATGTAATTAGCATTTATTCAATAATTCATTTCCAAGATTGCAAAAATGACTCCCTGATTCGTGCAGACAAATGGATTGACAGATTTTTCTAATCATTTCACTACATGGTGCCTGTTGTATGAATCCAAGACATACAGTAAATAAAACATTTATCCACTCAGGTAGAAGACAATGAAATATTTTCTTTTAATTGTGTCTATCAGCTGAGACATTAATCAATCACAACCTTTGTAGTTCGTCATTGTCTCAGTAGTGGAAATGACATTAAGAATAATTGTATGTAAAAATGAAATAAATGCTTTATCACAATTGGATGACAGCAATGTGTAACAGTAGCATTTGTCAATGTCTTTTCAATATAGCTCATCAGTTTGTGTCACTGGGTTAGCTGGATACATAAACATTGGAATAAAAAAAAAGTTTTTAATGAATGGTGATTTACTTATTCACTACTGCACTACAAGAAAAATATTTTTCATCATCTGAAAAAGTAACTTGCATAATGTTTTTATTTTACAAAATACATACTTCACATTAGTATTGTTTTTTTCCCCCTTAAATATATGAGTTTTAAGATTGATATTTTATGATTTGACAATTAAAATCTACTTATTCTATTTGATAAACAAGATTATAAAATTAGCTAACTACCAATAAATAAAATTATATTAAATTCAGAGTGTAGGTACAGATGATAATCAAGGACTAAGGGTATCATAAACTACAATCTAAAAGTGTTTTGTCTAATCAGTAACTGTCAATGATGAAAGACCACTCATGTCAGTGTTGGTAAACAGAAAATGGTCATAACAGCACTTTAAATCAACACTATTTCTTCACTATATCAAGGCAATACAAACAAGAGGGCATAGTGCATTATCACAATAATTAGGGTGCCAAAAATAAAATTTGGAGTCTTGAAATTTTATTTTGCGAAAATAGATATTTATTTAACCTAGAGCTAGAACTAGTATTTTAATATTTGAAAAACTCATGGTATGTCTTTTATATAAGAAATTAATAGAAAAAGATCTTTATGTTTTAACATCCATATTTACTGTATAGTGGCAATTCATCATCAACATAAAAATAATACTTTCATTGTGCGTCAACTGTACAATTTTGAAGGTGTATTTAAAAAGAATTTTTTGTTGATAAAAACATAGGGTACATTGTAGACCAGTTTAATTTTATCAAAGTGCAAAAAAAAAAAACCCCAATTAAGATGAATAAATAAACCCAATTTTTCATTATTAGCTGCTAAAAGATAACAAGCAGTTATGAAAACCTGTTTAAATAATAATTTTATTATATATTATTTACTGTAAAATAATTATTTTCATTACTGACTTTATAGTCTACATAAATGATAAACTATGCATAAAAACACTGAACATTACTACTGAATCAAAACAAGTGTCCAGAAAAAGCTGTTTAAATAACAAAAGGGTAAACAAACATTTACAATAACTAAGTGAAGGATAGCAAGAATGGCATGAAAAGATATAGTGCATAAGCAAGTTTTTTGTTTTTAAAGGCAGAGAGGTTGGCACTGGCTAGACAATACACACAGATACAACAACAAGGGATTTGTACACAAGTTGACTTTAATCATACCACAATCTGTCATAAAAGAGACATCTTTCTAATACAAAGAATGTCTGAAAATCTTTACATTAGCCCCAGTTTAGTGAACACAATGTGCATACAAATACTATACACTGAAAGATGCATGCCAACAGGTTAAATACATAAATCTTTAACAATCACATGCATAATTAAGTTTGTCATTGATAAAAAGGATTAGCTATGGTTTCTGACCTACAAGTTTTGAGAGTGATAAAGTTCGTTTAATAAATCATAACAGCAACAACATAAATAAAATAGTCAAAGAAAGGCAAAAGTGCCTTATAATTTGTAACAAAAAATCAATCAATTTTAAAAGAATTACATTATGTACACATAGTTATACATTTATTAGAATAATACATTTCAAGCATTTCACTCCTTGTGTAGTTTTTTTTTAAATACATATTTGCAGATAATGTATACTGGAGAATACTTTCAAAACAAAAAAATATGATACAATAGTATTTCACTTGTGAACAGTAGAAAACAAATTATGTATCAAAAATAATATAACGTTTTCATTATTTTGTCAAACTTTATTTAAAAAAAGTTATAGTTGAGTACACAGTAATGATTAAATTATATTTGTCACCAAATGAATTCGCTTGAGATTCCTATCCAACTGCATTTTCATGTAAATCATAATACTGTAGCATCAATATTATAGTTACAGTTCATATAAATAATTTATAGTTCAGGAACTGAAACTCTGAAGCTCACTCAAGGTATCACAAGTGGGTGTAATCATCATATAAAATATTCCTATGTATAGATTTTTGTTAGATATAATAAAATTGGTATAAGATTGCACTACTTTTAATAATAATATTATATTGCACACTCTTGAAATGAAAAATACAATATTGCACATGTGGGACAATTTCCATGGATTCTAAATTAATGTTCCAATCTGCTTGTCCCTCTGATAAAAGCAAATCATCACATTGAAACCAACTAGTTGAGCTTGCTAGCAACTGTTTTAGTTTTGTGCTGCATGACTGGTAGAAACTAACTATAATAAATGATGACATCTCCAAGAATGGACCTAACATATCTGGATGACAAGGGTTGATTTGACCATGATTCACAACCAATGGGCATAAAGTCTATAAAAGACTGCTCGCCTTTATTGTTACGATGTTTAACATTTGATTGCAAGTCTTTATTTAAAATAAAACAGAAATCTATTAATGGCCACTTAAATAAAAGTAACTTTTTATTATGAAAAGTATTCAAGGAAAAGAAAGAAAGTATTGGAAATAAATAATATTCAGACACATTTCAAATATAGTAAGGCATTTTTATAAAATAAATACAAATAAAAGAAAATAATTAATGCAAATTAACACAGATGGATTCAGTCAGACTACTGGTCTATATTTGAACAGTATTTTATCTAATAAATAAAAGTAATTTGAATTTTACCCTAGCTGGATAATTATTTGATCTAAATTTTATGTATGAAACCTTCTTTGAAAAGGTGATATTTTGTTGATCCAGTAGACTAACTAATTCAAAATCTTGATGCTAACTGCTTAAAAACTATGATTATTTTGAGTTCAAAGTTATATTTAAAAAATCATTCAAAACATTGCACATTTTAAAACTAATTTGCAAATGTTAAAATTTATCATGTTAGTAATTAAAAATTTAAACAAAAAAATCTGAATATAAGATTTTGAGTAAAATCAGAAATAATTAAAAAAAAAAATAACTCAAAAAAAAATAAATGTATGTTTGAGGTGATTTTTTTTCAGAAAAAAAAAATGTTTGAAGTGATGGCAGACATAAGAAATACAAAACTGTAGAAAGTAAAATTGAACAGACATAGAAATCATACATTAGATTTAGAATCTTCAACTGATTTATTACCCCCCTCTTTCTGATTGTTATCCTCTGCATTTAAATTTTGTGGACGAGAATTTTCATTTAGTTCTTTGTTTGTTGTGGAGCTTGTAGAAACATGTTCCTCGCTGTTTGTAGGTGTGGTATCATTTGATTTGGCAGTTAGTGATGGAATAGGTACAGACAAGCATTCAAAGGCAGCCTCAGGCGAAGTTTCTGTGGTGGATCTGTCTGGACATTGGTAGGGATGATGGTATGGCTGTGATGGTTGATGAGAGGGGGACATGGTATGTTGGGGGAGAGGTGATGCCGATCTGGTGAACATACCAGGCAGAGTTTGTTGAGAGTTTCTAGGTGAAGGTAATGGAGAAGTGGCCCTGCAACCTGCGTGTAGCTCCATGTAGGGCTCATTGATTGAGTAGGAGTGGGTGAATCCTGGTGGGACGAGGAAAGCGCTGTCCATGGAAAGTGTGTGAGGAATGCGGCGGCGCAGTGGAGAAGACCCTGCTGGAGCAAAATTGTCATGTTCAACGGCAGAAGATCGGGTGAGTGTTTGCTGACGACGTATTGGAGCTGGTGAGCCTTTTGGTTGTCTCCTGACACCAAATTGGCTGTCTGCGTTAGGGGGAATAAGGTGAACATGTTTGGGTGGGGTAGGGGAGGGAGAGCGCATGTGTGGGTTAGAGTACAGAGAATGAGGAGAAGGGACAGTGAGCATGTGAGAGTGGGAGAATGACAAGGGGCTGATATCTCTTGTAGCATCAAAGCTCCTCTGCTTGTAGGCACTGTCTTCTAGTGCTAAGGGAGAGGGAGGAAGAGCCAGTGGCGACACTGATGTTGTATGCTCTCTAAAGCCATAGGGACTGAGAGCTCGGTCTGATCTAGAAGATCCTGTCCTTGGTGGACTGAATGCTTTGGGAATTAACTTAGACGAGCTGAACGAGTTGCTTCGCCTGACTACTGCAGTTTCTCTGGCCTTGCAGCATGGAGGAAGGCGGACATCCTCCCCAAGCTCAAAGCTTGTGTTATCAATGCCTGGATTATTTCTGGGACTTTGCAGAGATGGGGGCATAGGACTTTTACACTTGGGATAAGGGGGTTTCATCACTCTTGGTGTGCTATCACCCCTTGAAGTGGAGTGAGTGCTGGATGCTGCTGATTCTACCATAGTCTTACATGTAGCTAAATGCGCACTGTCCCTATCTTCAGACACATAAGGAGAAAGCGTTGGATGAATATCATCTTCTTCATCTTCAGTTCCCCCTGTAATCATTTTTACTTCCAAATCACAGGCAGCTTCTTCGCTCCCCCAGTCACTGCACAATGACTCATCAATATCAGATCCAGTTTCGTTACTTCCTGTCTGGTTCGACTTTTTAAGTTTTTCTTTAGATAGACTTCCATCAGAAGTGATATGGTTTGATGCTTTATTCAGATTACTTTGCTTGTATTTATCTCTGAATCTGCTGTACTTGGCACCGCTACTTCTGCTCCTTAAAAGTTTATGCTTGATTCTGTCCCTTGCTGGCATTCTTTCCCCTGGGACTGCCCCATCCTTGGAGTCTAATGATCCTCCAGATTTTCCATCTAGTGAGTCATTTTTAATATCTTTTAAAGAAGGCTGGGATCTTGATATACCATTATCTGAGTTACAAATAACTTTATGCGTCTCTTTAAACTTATCCCAAACATCAGGCATACTTGTGTTCATGTTATTCAGCTGAGGATCTGAACCTACATCCATGCTGTACTGCTTTACAAGAGGTCTCCGCTGGATAGAGCCACTAGAGCCTTGGAGATTTAACAAATATGGACTGTGTGCTCGTCTGATTGGGGGAGAGGAAATACGAACACTTCGCTCGGAGCTGGGCGAGCTGCCAGTGAGACTTGGGGTCACTGCCAGACGGTTACTGTCCATGGAAGACCAGGAGGATCCCATCCCTTCAATTGTAATGGATGCGTTGACTGGTGATATGCCTGCAAATTATTTTTAGAAACAAATTTTACACTGCAACATGATTACATCAATTAGTTGTTGTATTGTTATTATTATAAAATTAAAATTATAAAATAAAAAAATTCTCAGGTTAGGGATGTGGTAGAGGACTGAAAGAGGTGTTATGAAATAAATGTACTGTTTTGTTTGAGTACAAGAGATTTTTGTGTACTAGAACATTTCAACATTTCAAGTAGCATCAGATGAAATAAGTGATTAGTTGGTGATTTTATGCAATGGTTGTTGGAACTACACAAGTTTTAGACAGTCTTCACCTTTTTTTTGGAGGTGTAATGAGTCTTTTCATGTTTTATAGTTTGAAGGCTATACATATGTCCTGGGAATTTTGTCTAGATTGTCAAGAAGTAAGGGGCATTAGAAAGTTATGGACTGATTTTCTTAATTAAAGCAGTTATTCTCCTATAGTGCAAGTGTAAACCATTCTTTGAATGGTCATAAAGTTGCATCGCATATTATCATTAAGAAGGCCCACTTCTGTGTGTTTTGATAGAAATTTAAAGTTCCATCTACAAAACATTAAATGGATTTATTGTTTATATTTCTTTTTATTGGTTGCGACTTGCAACAAGTCAAAAGTTCTGTCTCACTCAATGGTAAAGAGCCAGTCAGGTAATAACTAGAAGTCAACAGATGAACAACCACTCCATAACAAAAGGAACACTAATTTAATATCTTGCTATAATTTCTGACCTGGAGCATCCTCTGACTTGGACTGTTCTTCACTGGGTGGACGTACAGAAAATGTAAAGCTTGGTAAAGTGCTGACATGAAGGCCTCCAGGATTATCTTCCTCTAGTCCACTCTCTTTGCTCTGTTCAAAGTGTGCATACATAAATAGAGAGAATTTTCTCTTATAAGTTTAACATTATTTAATATAACTTTGCATTACACTCATGTAATGAAACATTAACAATTTTCAATTAATAAAAAACAAACAGTTTAAATTTGGTACAAAACATAAATGGTTTAAATTTTGTACAAAACATAAGTAGTTTAAATTTGGTACAAAACATGAAGTTAAAATTTGGTAGAGAACATAAGTAGTTAAAATTTTGTAGAAAACATGAAGTTAAAATTTGGTAGAAAATATTAGTTTAAATTTGGTACAAAATATAAGCAGTTAAAATTTGGTACAAATGATATTCCCTCACCTCTGGGTCTTCATTAGATTTTGTGATGGTAATCAAGGCATCTCGTATTAGAATTGTGTCATCATCCATCATACGATGTGATTCCTAAAACAACATTGCTTTTTATAAGATTTTTCTTCTTGAACATTATGAACTAATAATACTAACAGCTTTTATAATAAAATAAATTACAGAGTAATTATTTTAAGTTATTATGATTTTTCTTCCCACATTAACAAATTTAACCCTGTAACAACAGGAAAATGTTTTGAAAGTTGTTTTTATTTACAATTAATAATTTATGATTAATTACTTTTAGCTAATACTTTAATAATTTTTCTCAATATATTATTGATTAGAAACAATGAGTTCATTCCATTAAAAGAAATTTCTTCTGTGTTAGAGGGTTAATATGACATCTCCACATATCATTACTACATTCATACGTCCACTCACACTTTTCATGTTCTCACATATAGACATAATTGCCTAGTTGAAGACACCAACTATGGTGAAGAAATGATTTTATTATTTGAGTAAAGTTTAATCATAGGAAATATACAGTTGGGGAAATGCATTATTTTTTTTAGGTTTATGCCATGCAACAATTTTTATGGAATTATACATTTGTTAGTCTAATTTTTTTTTTTACAATTAAATGTTTTTGTCCTTAGTCACTGTCTAGTTACATTTCTGTTAATTATAATACTTTTCATTGGGTTCTTATTATCGCTTACACTAGCTATACATTGAATGTGTGCATACTAATATTACATTTTAAGCATGCTAAAGGACTGAAGGGACAAACATTACTGTGAATAAAATGTTAACAGAAAGAATAGAACTGTTATGGGACGAGTGAAGAAATGGTGCATTCCTGTCTAGGACTGTAACTAGTCTAGAAGATAATGGTAGAGCTTGCTGATGGAAGAACCAGTTGCATGAATTCATCTTCCCTGCCGCATGCTCTACTCAGTTTTCTCTCTTATTTTACGGTTGTTATCAAAATTATTTTTAGATTCTTGTTTATAAAAAAACTAATTTTTTTTTTGAGTAGTTAACCTATACATAAGTTGCTTTGATTATTTTAAAAAAAAAAACATCGACACATAAACTTAAAATAAAAACGGAACCAAAATAAACAAGATTATTCTGAACCAAAATAAACATAAGTTATATTCTGAACACTGAAGTCACCTTTATCTCTATGCCATCTGGTCCTGCCTTACCCGCCAAGGCTAGAGCACACATCTCTGCTCTCAACTCATCCTCAAGCTCATCATCCAACTCTTTGTATTTGTAAGTTTCCTGTGGTGGCACGCAAACAATGCACAAAACTCATGCAAAACATGCAAGTCACCATACATGGATGATTTCTAACTTAGTAGAAGAATGACAATAGTTCACATATGTTTCATAACATTAGTTCAAGAATGAAATTGCAAGGGCTTTTGATGATAAAAGATGGTATAACATGATGACATATATCACTAAGATGTGTAAAGATATTTTGTGTGCATCACAGATACACCACAATTGAGACTAAACACTATGCATTAACAAAATAGTTACAGTTACAAAATGTGCAATTTTTAGTCAACGGAAGTATATTATCACATCTTAAATGTGATGTCTTTAAAGCCTTAGTATCATACACACAATTTAAATGACATGTCTTTAGCAGGAAACATGTACCTGTTCCACACTATTTATAGGTGTAAAAGAAAACATTTTTCTCCTACAAACTGTGCTAAGTAGTACACAGTTCATTGAGCTTAAGCTGTAAATTCTTAATATAATTATAATTAAAATAATTGACAAAAGAAGGACAGGAAGAAGATAACTTAAATAACAACCACTTTAAGCAAATGTATTTGTGGCAGATAATTATAAAAATAAACATTTATTTTTACTTTACTAATATGAGATTGATGAGAATGCTAATTATATTTCACCAACACTTTTGATAAAATGGTTGTTCCTTAAGCAGTATCTAATATCTCTTACCTTTTTTAAAATTAGATTGGTATTAATGGGATTGTTTTTTTATTTATGCTTGATTGAAAATAGTTGAATATTTTAATAAAGATAAAAAAAGATACTGTTAATATATAAATGAATCGCCTCATGTACCTCCAAATGTTTCATCAGTACAGCCACTACTACATTGACCAGCACAAACTGAGCCATCAGCACAAACACCACAAAGTAAATAGGGGCAATAATTGAGCTGACACAGCAATTTGTCAAGCAGGTGTCACTGGAGTCACAGTTTACACGAAGTGTGTCCTAAAATGCAGTATAAAAGTTATTATGGGAGATTAGATAATACATTATTCACATATAAAGAAAAATGTTTCAATGAATTATTAATAAACTCTTAGAAACAAACAACTGGTGTTTGCCTTTGCATTTAAATCTGTAACAGAATCCTTTAAGTAAATACTGTATGAACCAACATAAAACTTTAAGTGGCTTGAATGTGTGATAAGAATTGAGATTATTTTTGAATAATTTATTGGCTTCATTAAAACCCAGCATAGTGTATTGATCTGTTATAAAAAGTAAGAAATTTTTATTTAAAAATCTTAACCATAACTTATTTTCTGACTAATTTGTTAATAATGTCTTACTTTCATTATGCCATTCCAATTATCACCAGTAGCTACCCGAAAAAGAGTAAGAAAAGCCATCCCAAAATTTTGAAAATGTGCATGTTCACTTAGTCCTTCACAAGGATTACTGTCACTACATTCTAGAGAACAAGATAAAAATGACATTGTTTATAATTTAAATTTCATTATTAATCTATTCAATCGGGGTGGGGGAAAGAAAAAGGTAAGTTGTATTATATATAGGAGAAATTGTAAAAAACAGGGATAATAATTCGACAAACCTAATCTTCCAAACAATTCTACACCTAGTGCTGCAAAAATAAAGAATAATAGGAAAAAGAGCAGGCCTAAATTTCCAACTTGGGGCAATGCTTGAATCACTGTGTCCAACAATGCCCTGATTCCTTTAGCCATTTTCAGCAGTTTCAGCACTGGGAAAAGATAGAAACAACATGATTACTCTTGATTATCCAGATTTTTTAGCACTGTAAACAATAGTCTGATACATACCACGAGCTATCCTAAGCACTCTCATGACTCTAATAATTGTTGGGTTCATTTGAATCACATTGGCTTTCATTTCCTCCATCACAATGCCCACAATAGATAAGACAACAATCATTATATCCAGTTGATTCCACCTGGTGGTTAAAGATGTGTAGTGTCAACTTAAAACATTACATGACTAACATTCTTCCAACAATCAATAGAATATAGTGTCAACTTAAAACATTACATGACTAACATTCTTCCAACAATCAATAGAATATTTATAGTGTCAACTTGAAACATTTCACCAGCAAATAGAAAAGCAGAATGTTATTTATGCAGTAACATTTCTGGTAGAATATATATATAAAAAAAGTTCAAATGAAATAAAATTTACAAAAAATGTGCCAAGTAATGGATTGAATTACATAGTGTGACTTTTATTACTTTAAAATGTTTTCACAATAAAATGGCCTTCTTACCTATCTTTTATAAACCTCAAAAATCCCAATGCAATAATTTTCATGGCAGCTTCTAATATAAAGACGCTTGTAAAGAAGAAGTTGAAAATTTTCAGCGCATGTTCTAGCTCCTAAATAACAAACAAAAAGAAGAATACATTTCTTTGTCTTAATTACTAGAACTGGAATTTGTGAATTGTAACAAGTATTTTTGAACAAGAATGATATTTTTCTCCCTACATATAGATAGGGATTAAAATAAAAAAAAATGTTGTTACCAAAATAATATCAAATCTAATAGTAATTGACTATCATATCAATATCTATAAATATGCTTCCACTACAGTTGTTTCTTTAAGCTTAAAGCATATTTAAGAAGTAGTTTCACTTACTGGAGGCATCATATAATATTCCATTGCCATAGTGATGACATTAAGACCAATAACCGCTGCTATAGCCAAGTCAAAGTACTTGCTGTTAATGACAGTGTGGATAAATAGGCGACTGTGGGTATAGTTAGCCCAGTAGGGGGGCTCTCTCATCTCTGATTACACCAAGGGTGAGAGAAACAAAGCACACAGAAATTAAGGTTAAAACATTGATTAACTGGGAAAAAAAACCTATAAATATTAGTTTTAGCTGAAAATAGAGGGTAATTTCAGGAATTACATTACATTACAATAAAATATTCTATTAAAAATAAACCACATATTCTTCTACTTTCGACTTTTCTAACATTTGCCAGTGTAATCTCTGCCTCTTGTGGTATAACTGAGTAAACAGATACTGGTGAATTTCAGTAAGAAATTTAAAAGACAAGGTTTTGTTACAGAGTAATAATAAATCATAAAAAGTGAGATTTAGAGTCTACAGTGGAATAGGAAGTTTATTCAGCAAAACTAATAGGAGAATGTGGAGAAAATATCGAGGTGTTAATTATATTTTAGAGGGTAAAAACAAACTGATATGACTAACAGAACTACGAGACAAGTTGTCAGGTGCAGCAAGCTAACTACTTGAATGTGTCAATCAGGAATGTGGAAAGTAGCAGAAAAAATATTAGCCGATAGCTAAGTGTTTATTATTGTACTCATCTCTACAGAGGTTTATATTAGCACACCTGTCTATATATGGGATAAAACCAAAACATAGACTAATACGGCATGTGCTGTGCACATCATATAATGTGGATAAATATAATCACTGGAAGCAGCAATTGTGGTTTAAGGTTGAAATAAAAAAGATGATAAAAGACATCTATTAGTACAGAAGTAGTTTGAGGTTTAAAGGCAATGAAATGAGTTGACACATAATAATGTGTGTAAATATAAAAGAAATTTGCCAACAATTTAAGAAAAACCAGATATGGAGTGAACGTGAACAATCTGATTCATCAGATGAAATCTACTAAAGGTGAGTAAGAAAATCGTTTAGAGAATGTTTTTTTGAAAAAAAATTGAAGTGTTTAGAAATCTAACAAAAGTGTGTATTCATTTTAATTGTGAACTAGTGTCATGCAAATGTTTTGTCGAGAAAAAGTGTAAAATCATATTGCTTGATGAGGGAAGCTTGAGAACTGAAAAAAATAAGCAAAATCCAGGTGACAGTTTGAAAGATATTCAAGCTCAAAACTATATACTTGCTTTAAATAACAACCAACTTTAAATAAATCCTGAATTTGTAAGATAGTTATTAAATACATAAATGGTTTTATTAAAATAGTAATTTAAATAATTAAGACATAAATTATTTCAAGAAACACTTTTGAAAAGTAGTTTCAATGTAGTTGATTTAATTAAACTTTGGCAACACAAGATTGAAACTATTGTACTGAGTCTGGCTAAAGAATGTATTGTTATAGACAACACTGAGATAAGAAAACACAATTTTCGTGTTAATTGGATCAGTAGATGAGTACATATTTCCATTTAAAACAGGCACAAAACTTAGTTTACAACACTAGCATCTCAGTCTTTAGTTAATTAAAAAGAAATACTTTTTTTTTTTATAAAGTTAGAGTCAAATTAATTTTTTTTTAAAAAAATAGCACAACAAAAGAGTGCTGCACTAACATATGTGCCAAACATTTATAAACATTAAGAGAGCAGAATAATAAAATATTATTGAAAAAACTAGGCTTGCTGGTATTAGAAATAATTACCAAGTCTTTTGTTAACAATAGATTAAACTAATTCTTAAGTCAAAGCACAAATTATAGTTAACAACAAGATCACCTAAAAAAAGCAGCTTAATAATTTTATTAAGAAACATTGTGATCATTTTTACATTGCAAAATACAATTAACACTTGATTTTGCTAAAATTAACCTGTTATTTGCCATATTGTTTTTTTGAAAAAAAAAGAGAATGCCTAATCAAATAGATGCTGCGCTAATGTTTACTGAATATATGGCTTAAGTATGTCATTACTAATTATTTTTAAAATATACCAAAATATGTTAAAAAAAAAATCAAATTTTAAGTATGAAATGTTTACTGAATATATGGCTTAAGTATGTCATTACTAGATCTAATTATTTTTAAAATACCAAAATACGTTAAAAAAAATCAAATTTTAAGTATGAGAAAATGATTATGAAAATTGGCACTTTAGATTTCAAGCACAAGAAAAAAAAGTTTTCATTTAATTTTTAATAATATTATGAAACCAGAAAAGCAGTTTAAAAAATTAAAAAGTGTAAAAATTGTGCTATTTTTAAACTTAAACTACAAGTTAGGATATTATTACTACTGCATGCAGAATAGAGGTATGCATTCCACATCAACTAGTATAAAAAAAAGTACAAAGATACATAAGATTAACAAAGAAGGAATGTAATTCTAAACTTTTTAAGAATACACTAAGGCAGAGAATACAATATTTTATTTTATGCAAAAGTACTAAGTAAATTTCTAATAATCTTTTAAATGTTTCATAAAGAGAAATTGACAGCAAATACTTTAAAAAACTTCTTAAATAAAAATGAAGAACAAATAAAATGTTGAGCTAATGATTTTAAATATGTAAATGAGGTATCAGAATATATTCAAATATATAAGTAAATGTAATACTCTCTATTATAAAGAGGATATACTAGGATGTCTGAAATAAATTATAATTTTAGAAATAACAAGTGCTGTTATTTAAATCAAAACAAAAATACTGAAAATTCAAAATAAAAGTCCCAAAAAAAAAAAGAAAGAAATAAAACATCCACAGTAAAATACCCAAGGTTATGCACATTAAAATTACTTTTATACTTACAACCAAGGCATTTTCCCCTTATACTTTGACCTTTATTTATCTTCCAAATTTATAAGGTATTAAACATCAAAGTAAATATAATATTTTTTGTTTTGAATTGTTACCACATTTTAAAAAAATCAATGTTTAACCATTGTAATTATAGCCTTGTGATGTAAAAAGCCAGACTCAGTGCACTAATACCAACCAGACGATGCTTTAGGGGCCTCACTCTTTCTTTTTTTATCCAACTTTTCTTGCCGTTTAGCTGCACGTTTTGCCCGTTCCTCGATTTCTTGTGACTCACGACATTTGTGAAAATTTTCCACAACGACACCAACAAACATGTTCAACACAAAGAAGGCGACAAGCAGCAAAAATGAGATAAAGTACAGAAGTCTCCATTCATTGTAGTTTTCTATAGGCTTGAAAAAGATAAAAAAAAAGTGATTAAAATGATGTATTCATTGTGTTTCCATTTCAACATGAATGTTAGACAATTTTTATTTTATTAAAAGATTTAAATTTACCTGTTGATCGACTCCAACTGCATCGAGCCCTGTGTACATGATTTGCACCCAACCATCTTTTGATGCTAGCACAAAAAGTGCCATCAAAGCCTATTTAAATACATATAACGTTAGTTATAAATAACATTTTCACAGGCTTTTATAGATTAGATGGCTGGGCAAAGAACTAACCACACTACTCATTTATATGCATTGGTCGCAGAAATATATAAATACGGCTTCTTTTTTTTTCAGATCACAAATGAAAACTTCAAGTTTGTGTAAAATCAATAATAAAAAATAAACTTGGGAAATTACCTGGCCAAGATTGTCAAAATTATACTTCTGATTCCTCCAATCATTATTTTCTGCCTTACACTGTGTCTTGTTGGTTATATGCTTCACATTTTTGCCGTGACAGTAGTAAAACTGTCCTTTAAAAAGCTGTTAAGAATAAAGGTTTTTTAAATTTTATCTTAATACCTACCATTAAATAACATTTTGTGTGCATTTAAAAGCTAAAATAGTTTTTTCAACAAATATTTTTACCTGCACCCCAAGTATACCAAATATGATGAAGAATGTACAGCAGATGAGCACGATGTTGCCAATAGGACGCAGCGATGATAAAAGTGTTTGTACTACTAATTTCAAGCCAGGAGCGCGGCTTATAACCCTGTAAACAAAATATAGTAAATAGTAAGTTTGTAAGTTTACACTATATTGCTATAATTTAAGGGTAATATGATTTTGTATGCATTATTGATAAATATTAAAGATACCAATAAAACATACAATTTAAGTATTATAAAAATAAATACTTATTAGGAAAGTAAGTAAAATAAAAAAAACTGACCTCAGTGGCCTTAAAGTTCGTAACAATCTAAACACCCTCAGGATACCAAAAATCCGAGTAACACTGGATGCAGATATGGAAATTAAAATGTCTATAAGTGAAATAATGACCAAAAATCCATCCATAACATTCCAGCCACTTTTTAAATAAGCATGTTTGCCAATAAAAAATCCTTTTGCTATAACCTGAAAAATGATATTAAAAAATTGTTAACAGATGTAAAAGTAATACATTTTTTACTTTACATAATTTAAAAAAAACCAATAGACTAAGTTTTTGTATTACTAAGAATATTTTATCTTACTTTTATCATCATTTCCAGTGTGAATACAAAAGTAAAGACATAGTTGCTGTAAGTTAGAAAGAAACGCTCCTGAAAATATAAAATGTAGCCTTATAGTTCAGTTGGGTATAATATCAGAATGTAATTTGAAAAGGTAATAAAAAGATTGAAATGAAACTTTAACATACATAAGCAGAATATTTATGAATTTTACATGTCATTAGTTGTGAAAAATAAAAATAAATACATTTTTGCAGAAATAGTATAGTACTTTACAATTTTCTGTACCTTGAGTTTCTTACATATAGAAACAGATATTATGCAATTCATAATAAAACTATTAGCAAAGTTTCTTAAAATAAGAGGATAGAAATGATAATTATACTATATAATTATCAAGTTGTCAAGAGCATCATCTGATTTTAAAGATATAATGTTTCTATTACCTGACATTTAAAAGTTAAAGCCTAAATAAACAGTAACCTCTTTGAAATTGCTAGTAGGATGGTGATTCTGATGCCATGACAATTTTGTTAATGTAGGGTGCTTAATATTTTTTAAGTCAAATAATTAAAACAAACAAATGACTTTCACAATACAAGGCCATTGTGCTAAGGAAGTGCAGTGATTTCTAATTTAACTTAACGGATCTTTTCTCCAAACTCAAAAAATTTATATTCAATATTAGAAATCTTTCTCATACCAGCCAAGCTTCCAGCCTCAAAATTATCAGTTTTGCATACATGCAAAAGTGAAATTTCTAAATAACAGCATTATCAACAAACACAATGGTTCATCATGTTTATAAAGAGTCTCTGTTCAGGTGAAAGATACATGCAAAGTGCCAAATCATTTATCAGCCAAGCTACAAGATGAGCAGGCTTTTCAAATGGTACCCCTTTAAATGATGTAATTTTAAGCACAAGCCTAAATAGAGTTTAAAAGTTCTGAAAGACAAAACTATTCATATAATTAGGTAAAAGTAAAAATAAAAACCATGTTCTAAAAGAAAGGTAAAGCGAATTGCGTTTATGGCATTTGTTTTTTAAAAGATGTAACACTATTTCTGCTTATCTTTATTAAGCAATGATAAAAATGGAACTTCAGAGTGAGCATGCCCCAATGTGTAAAACTGACTGAATAGAAGCCATAAGATGAAGGAGCAAAATGCTATCATCTATCCTGTAGGTTCTTTGTGGAAACTATCATAGTAAATCAATCAATAAACAAGGAAAGTCGTACAAATGGCTGAGAAGTATGTATTAAACTAAGAAAAACATTAAAATTTTAATATTTTAATTAAATGTTCAGTGAGAACCGAAACTAAAATGTTTGATAATTTTAAAACATTTGAATCAATTGCCCACCTCACTATTTATGATGTATGATACTAGTTTATGAAAAACACACATATTTATTTAGGCTAACTGAAGATTAACATAGTTTAATGGTCTCCCTGACAATGGTGTATGTAGCATGCGCTGAAAGGGGTAATAAAACTGATTTCGTTTTTACCTCTGCTGAAACCTGTTTTGAAACATTATGTATAAATAAAAACATACAATACAATTTTTTAACACAATATATTGATATAATTTTGAGACCATTTACAGAATAATGATTTGTTTCATGCTTAAGAAATTATTTTTAATTTAATATAAGAGAATCCATCTGGATTGCTAAATATTGAAAAGAAAACCTTGTCAAATATTTACAAATTTTGTTGGACTATCTTTGTTCTGATGGCATGGATATCTATTTATGTTCTAAAACATACAAATGCATTTTATTTGCTCAACATGAGGTTGAAATTATAAAAGTTTGATAATGTTCACTAAAGCTTCTAACACACCAACACTTTTGTCTGTTTATGCTTTGCTTGCAACAAGCTTCGATTAAGTCTAGGATCATTCAACTGTAAGCAAGCTTATTTAGTGTTAACCTTAGAATGTTGATTGGCATTTGTTGCACATTTAAGTAGTTAATACTTAAGAAAAAGTTAATAGAACCCTTAACAGAAGGTACTTTTACACATGATGACAGAATGCAAAATAATTTCAACACATAAAAAAAAATAATTAATTAACAGTCTATAAAAATAAGCACATCTAAATCACTATAAAAAAAATGTGCAGTTTCTTGTGCTGATTTATTTCAAGTGTTTATTTTGAGCAATCAAAAATACCTTATTCTTAATCCTAGGCAAGCAAAAGTAATGAAATAAAATTATGTTGTAAGCGTAGATCTAAAAAAAGATCAAGCTAAACTTACAACACTGTAAGGAGGTATACTAGGCCTTTCCATGGCAAGAGTGATACAGTTGAGGGCAATGAAGATCAGCACAGCATTATCAAACCACTTCTTAGAGATAAGTTGATGAGTGAATTTGCGGAGTCTGAAATAAATAAATTTGTTATAATTTCTGGGAAAAGAAAAACAACTCATGATACATTGAAATCTGACGTAGGTCTAAAGGTTTCAATAAATATTTCATAAGCTCTGTTGTGTGTTGTTGATGAGGTTTGAGCTCAGATATATGTAATAGCAGTCCCTGCTAGATGTTGATCTGTTTTGTATACAACCCTAAAAACAACATTCTAGCTATGCCACATCATTTTATTATCCATCAGAGAAAAAAATCACTAAAAGTAGTCTCTACATAAAAATACTAATTATATTAAAAGAGTGTATTATGAGTGAAATAAGTTAAAAACACTATAACATGTCATGGTATTTTAAGCTGTTAACTATTATTGAATGAGTATTTCTTATAATGATCATGGTGATGTATACAGTCATTCAAAGTCAACTTTTTCACTATGTTTGAAGAAAAATTACATTCTATTCACACTGATTTTACAACATCATTGATTAATTTCACAATATCATTTTAACTACCATTTATAATTCGCTATTGAAAAAGAAAGTCGAAATAAAAAAAAAGAAAGAAAAAAATAATTTTGTAAAAAAATGTAAATTTTCAGCATCTCCTAAAATGATGTAGTCAATTAAAAAAAATTCTCACCTATTTTCATTTGACAGCAGGTAGAAAGTATATTCATGTCTGTCAAGAAAACATCCTTTTGGCTCTGGACACCAAGACCAATTCCATTCCTAATGTATTTTAAAATGCATTAAGTAATCAAGTAAAACAGCTAATTAGAGTTTCAGACCTTAAAAGCCTTAAAAATATAATTGTTATTTGATAACTCAAGAAATTAACAAAAACTGAAGCTATAGTTCAAATTCTAAAATTAATTTATACTAAACCTCTTTTTCTGAACGTGAACATATTTATAATTTTTTTTTCTGTTAACACTTTTATTAATTTTTTTAATTTTGCTAAAATAGTGACTATAATAAGGAAAATCTCATTAAACATTGCATGCCAGCAAATCTCTGATTACTGATGCACTATTTTATACAAGGAAGCACCTATTAAATAGTCTTCCATTATTTAAAGTCCCATGTTTGGGATTACCTTGACAGTAGTTTTCTTAGAGAGATTACTAAACATTAATATCTTTACCAATCTTTTCTTTAATCTTACACAGTAATAAAACTTTAAAATATTAAGTTTAGTAGGTAATTAATGTTTGAAGGTTTTAGATTAGTGTTATAGCAATGATAATTCATTTCCTGTTCATGCCCAAGACACATGGGGCAGATGAAATAGAGTTCATCCGATTCCTTGACATAAGCTCTACCATTTGACCTTGGCAGATCCCTAGCTTGAAGCAATATATCATGTTAAATACCATTTTGTATAACCGACCTAGAATATCTTAGGTTCTCAACATAAAAATTTTGCAAATCACTTTCAGAAAAATGAAAATAACCCATACACAACTAGTTCTTCACAAAATCCAAACAAGGGCCATCAGACTCACAGTTTCATCAATGGCATCAGGATCAGGCAGATCACTCTCTTCTTCTCTCCCCTCTTCTTTATCTAGTGCTATTTTTACATCAGGTAGATCCACAAAGTTTTTGTTGGACTTGTTGTCATCCTTTGAGTTTCCACTTCCAAGTGAGTTTAAGGTACGATGGCTGGTAGATGAAATTAAAATTCTTTTATTGAATTTTTCTAAAGAATGACAAATTTTATTAATAATATTAATTAAAACATGATTTAAAAAACTAAAGCTTTGTATATACCTGGTGAAAGAGTTCTGACGACTAAGTTCAAATGAGTTGCATATACTTCTTCCACTTCCAACAGAATTATTTCTACTCCAGGTGTGGTGGCTTTTGAATGAATTTCTTGGGGTAAGTGCTCTCCCTTTTAGTGAGTTTTGAGGACTGAGTGCTCTTTGGTTGTTCAGTGGTGGATGGCCATTGCAATCACTGAAAAATTTGAAAGAGTTTTCAAATTTTTAGAAAGTTTACTTTAGTGTAGAAAAAAAAACAACTATATTTAAATGACAAGCTATATTTACATAATACTAACACATAATAAACAAAGAAAAGCATGCAGAAGAATTAACAATTAAAACATTAAAGATATATTTTATGTTAGATGAAACAATTATTTTTTTTGAAATTATTCGTTTTAGTAAGAAGCAAGCAAAGCAAAAAAAAATCAAACAGAACATTTGGTTAGTACCTGAATACATAAGTTACTGCATGTCTGGAATGAAAATATAAATACATGCTATGAAAACTAATCAGTCAGGATGGGGAGTTAGTTAATCTCATACTACTTTATTAAAAAAATATATTTGAGTAATTTTGATTATGTGGAGTAAACAGAAGAGGAAATATTTAAGAAAGGAAATATAAACAGATAGGATATATGAAGTATTTTGTACATAAATGAAATCTACTGTCAATTACTAAAACCCAGCCTACCCGTGTGTGTTGACACTTGGGGTTCTAGGTGTGCCGGCTGAGTACGTGGGAGACTGTGAGTGGCTGGAGGAGAACACATCGTCATCCACATCATCTGCACTGTCAGACAAGCTGTCTACAACCAGGCTTGTCTTGTCGCCACGGAGACGGCGATTCCTGGCTCTCCAGCTGGCAGATCTCTGATGATGGCTTCCCCTGCTGTTGGTGCGACGCAGGCATGGTGATGGTCTAGGAGATCCTCCCCGAAAGTTGGGCTATATAACGATTATATGTAAGATATAAATTATTAGGCTGTAATAGTTATATGTAAGATATAAATTATTAGGCTGTAATAGTTATATGTAAGATATAAATTATTAGGCTGTAATAGTTATATGTAAGATATAAATTATTAGGCTGTAATAGTTATATGTAAGATATAAATTATTCAGCTGTAATAGTTATATGTAAAATATTAATTATTGGGCTTTAGTGCAGTTATATGTTTAAAATTAACAATTACAAACATGTTGGAAACTTGGCTGTAAAATTATTGTATAGGCTTATTAGAAATTTAAATACACAAAATAACTATTGAAATAAAAGTTTATATAAAACTCCATGCAGAAGATGATAAAACTTACTGATTCATTGAAATACAAGTTTATAAAACTTCTTTTTGTAGACAATAAAACTTAATATTAATCTAAAAATTTCATTCTGTAGACAATTAAACTTACAGATTTATCAGAGTCAACTGATAGTGTAGACTTGAGAGCACTTCTTTTCACTGATAATGACAACTTATTATTTGTATCTTTGATGGCATTCTCATTTGGTGATCCTTGAGGTGTAGCCATGGGTGTTGCTGCTGTATGAGTTATTATGGGTGGGTTCAGTGGACCATCTGAATGAACCACGGCTTGCAGTTGGGATGGAGTTTCATTTTTTATAGAAATGCCACAAGTTGGAGGGAGGGCAAGCATTTTTTTCTCTGAATAAGAAGTTGAAATGTATTGTGATGATAAAAATTTATTTGTACATAGGTATTTTCATTTAAAATTTATCTAAAAAATCTCCAACTATTAATTAAAATCAAAGTATTTTTTATAAATTCTTGTCACAAGTATAACTAGAAAGAATGTAAGCTGCAAATCAGTCTTGCTTAATTTAATGTAAAAAAGAAACAAATGAGCACATTGGGCTTGTGATAATATTAAAATTATTAGGCGCAGAAAAACAGGAATACAAATATAACAAAAAGGAAACATAGCTTTAGAAAAAAGAGTAAATATGTAAATTAAGCTTGATGGAGAGTTATAGCATTGAAACAAACAGTATAAGGATAAACAGAGACACAAAGTGGTTCAAAGGATAAACAGAGACACAAAGTGGTCCAAAGGATAAACAGAGACACAATGTGGTCCAAAGGATAAACAGAGACACAATGTGGTCCAAAGGATAAACAGAGACACAATGTGGTCCAAAGGATAAACAGAGACACAATGTGGTCCAAAGGATAAACAGAGACACAATGTGGTCCAAAGGATAAACAGAGACACAATGTGGTCCAAAGGAAGAACACTCAATTGCTAACCCAACTCTTTTTAGCTCAGTTTCTTAGAAGTGTGTGGGTTTATTCAGTTCAGGGATAGTCAGAGTTTTTTCCAGGCATCTCTTCAGGGGGGGGGGCCCTCCCGAAGAAAGTCTACCACACCCCCCCCCCCCGCAAACGAAATGAAATTTATATAGAAAGTATATACTTTTAACAGTGTCCCGTCCCCCCCCCCCCCGAAGAAAATTTCAAGTGCCCCCCCCCCCCCCCCCCGGAGAAAAGTGTGGAACAAACACTGGGGATAGTAAAGATAGCTGGACCTAGTGCTACCATAGGCTAAGATTATAGATACACAAAAACTATTCTGCCCTACAGACAGAAAAGTTAATATTAAAGTTGAAAAAATATATACAGACCTTTTTCTTTGTTATTTTTTACATCTATATCTGCTGCATTAAAGCAAATTTTAGCACTTTGAGCATCATCAATGTTGTTATTTTCAGCTAAGCGTTGCTTTTCTTTTTCTTCTTCATCTTCAACATCTTTATCAATTTCTTCTTTTTCCTTTTTCTTCTTCTTATCTTCATCCTTCATTTAAAGAAAACACCAATGGAGTTTTATCACGAGGGTAATCATATTTATCACAAAAATAAAAGAAAACTAAATCTGGCTCAACAAAAATATTCACTGCAACTATAAAACATATTTCAACTATAGAACTGTTAAATACATACCTCAGTAGAAAATCCTTCAACCAAAATGGCCACGAGTAGATTGAACAAGACGTAGTTGCCAAAAGTCATTAGAGCAACAAAATAAAGGGATGCCCATGCTGAGGTTTTAGCCATCCCATTGTAAAGGACAGTGTTCCAGTCCTCTTGTGTTAAAACCTAGTCAATCAAAAATAGAAATATTGTTCTCTATTTGTTGTATTAAAATTAAAGAGTTTAATACATGGAACAACAAAAATTAATTTGTTTAAAAATGTCTATCTTTATATGAATTAATTTTATATTAATATTATATATGATTTTCGATACTTAATATAAGTTTTACAGTTGCATTTTAGTTTTAAATATAAAATAAACATATTTTAAACTTAAAAAATACCCATCTAAATATGTATTGCTTTCTCCATTTAAGTCACGTATACACCGATAATAATCTCTAAATAATTTGAGCTCTGATTAGTTGAAGTTTAAGTATCAGTAAATATGTGTCTAAATGCTGCATGCACTTATGTTTACAAATACTGGTAAACTATATGCATTCAATGCACACAAAAATATGGTTTTCATGAGTCTTAAATACAGTTGTAAAAAAATTACTTAAAATATTCTGAATTTTCTAACTATCTAAAATAATTAATTTTTGAAGAAAAACATTTATTATAAAAAAAAGATAATAAACATTGTTAATAGTGTACTTTAAAAAAAAATCGATAACTAACCATTACTGGAATTCAATATTTATTAAAGCCTAAATGAAAAGTAGAACAGAAAAGAATTAGGTAATGTTTCAAGAGTTAACAAAACATATTAGCCACTATTTCGTTTAACACCTTCTTGTTCAAACTATAATAGACTAAACACTAAGAAATGAGAAAGAAGTGGTATGCCAATGATGAGAAAATCTAAACAACTCAGCTCCTCCCACTTGGCCTAGAGAAAAGGATTACACTAACTTCTAGTCTGGCTGAATAGCTCGGCACATCCAGCAGTTATTGTAGATGTTTTTTTTAGAGTAAGTTCTCTAGCCCTTTATATAACCTTACCAAACTGAGCCAAAACATGCTTATTTATTATTATTTATCATGAAGATGGGGTATTTAAATTTTATTTTATTGTTAAGTTTATAAATGAGGCAAGCTATCACAAAGTGAGAATAAAAACTATTCATATTTTAAAGCCTTTTAATTTTGTCATTAATATTTCTAAACTAATTATAATATTAAATTAATTAGATCCTAGAAGTATTTTAAAGGACTAAACAAAATAAATTAGCTTTAAAAAGACATTGGTATAAATAGTTGTTTTTTTAGAAATTAAAAAAAAATTACATTAATAAAAATAAGCTGTGAACAAATACAAAACTAATTTAAAATGTCACAATACTTCATATTATGACTTAGCCAATGCAATATAAACTAATGATAGCTTTGTCCCACTGAAAATGTTTTCAACTATTTAGATATTCAAATTTAATTGAAATTAATATTTTAACAATTTTAATACAACTGAATGATGCAAAATATTGTTTGAAAAAAAAAAGAAACAAAGCAGGTAATACACTGAAAGCTACTAATTACTCAAGCAACTATTTTGTAAAACAGCAGCAAGCAATCTACTAAAATAAGATTTTAGACTCAAAATATAAATGTGGGTAGCAATAAAAGATTATTTATCAAGAAAATTAAATTTAAAATAAAAAAAAAAGCTAGATCTCTAGTATTGAAAAAATTCAAACTAAGGAAATGGGGAGGTCACAAACAAATTGGTCTAAGACAAAAGGAAAGAGAAAGACAATAGCATGAAGTGGCTGAATGAATATGAAGTATTAGATGAAATGATATGGAAATGCCTTGACAATAGAAATGGCCATTTCTATTTGTAATCAAAGGAAAATTGCAAGATGCCACTCCCAGAATGTTCTAATACATTTTTTGTAGCATAAAATAACTGTTCAACATATATATATATATATATATATATATATATATATATATATATATATATATATATATATATATATATATATATATATATATATATATATATATATATATATATATAATGTAGAGATCATGCACATATTATACAACATGAAACAACTTTTTTGACTCCCCCCCCCCCCCTTATAAAATAAATTTGTATGACATTTCCCTACACCATCAGCAATTACATTATAAATATTACCAAGAAACCACCCCTCCCCCTGCCCACAACCCAGTTTACAATTTGGTATTACAAAATCTGTTGAAAATGAAAATGGAAATCCCAGCATTTTATATAAAAAAAATTTTTTTACATTTTATTTAAAACTTTAACTACTTTTAAAATTTAAACCTTTATTTGTGCTAAGGTAAAAAAAAAAATTAACGCTGCTCTACATCTTCTCTTAATTGCAAAAAAAATAAAAATGATAAAGCACCCTCTACCCACTTCAAGGTATTTAATATGTACATGATCCCCTGTCATATTGATTATTAACTACTTTGTAACCATTATTTTTTTTTATTATACTTTAGTTTTTAATGCAGTTATAAATTAATTATAATAAATTTTGTTTGTAGAAATTATTAATGCTTTTCAATAGTAAAATGTTTTAAAGAAAAAAAAAATACTTTAGTAGCAAATGTTAGAAAAAAACATTGTTAAGTTACCTGAATAAAGACTAATAAAAGAAGGTGTATAAATTATTTTGAATTAATAAAAAAGTTTAAGTCGTACTACTTTTTCCAAATGCTAAGGGTAGCTAATTTACTCCAAAAGAGTAATTAAACGAAAAAATGATGCCACAATCAGTAAAAATACTTACTCTGCATCTTTGACAAAATGATGCAGACAACAGGAATAGCGTAAAACCAACTTTTATAACATATTAACCAATTACTGAGTAATAAGAACTGAAATTGTGATGAAGGTTTACAATTTCCATTTTGAGATGCCACAAAAGAGGATTGATGGAAAAATCTTCAAAACAACACTTGAAAAAGCACAGAATTGATACATTATAAGCAAGCACTGTTTAATATAAGGTGAAATGGTGTTCAGGTGTCCCATAGAGAAACTAAACAAAAGGGTGTTAAAAGAAGCAAAAAAAAACAAAACAAAATAAACTGTGATTCATGATTATGACCAGAGACACTATATATTTCATAAACATGTTTTTTTATATAACTTCTGTATTATAAGATTTTTTCTACACCCAATTTAACTTTTAATTGTAAGAAGACGAAGTAATTTATAAAACAAAGTCTAAATTTTTTTTATATTAAAATATATCAGATATTTTAAGCAATTTGGTATTTGAATATATATCATTTATTCAATGATTATATTTTTAATTTTTTTTGCCACTAGTATAGTTTATTATAACTTATCTTACAAGGACAAGAAAAAGGACAATTCTGGATAAATAGCTAAATACCTGGAAAACAGTGACCAAAGACCATAAGAGATTGTCAAAATTGGCACGGTCACAGCGGCATAAAGAAGTGTTACGGCGCTCCATACAGGAGCATGGTTTTCCGTCCTCCTTCTCACAGAATGTGCCTCCAAACAGGCTCATTCCAAGTATACTGTGTGTGGAGTGGGTCATGAAGAGGAGGTTGTTAGAGGAAGCATAGAGAAGGATGACAATTCGGGCATTAAGTACAGATTTATAAAGATTATGACCTGTTTATCCTCACTATGCATGGTATGTAATGTATACAAGAACATGATATTGTTGTGTGGTATATTGTATACAACAAATATTTACATAGAACGTTAAAATTAGAAATTTTTTATGAGAAGTGAATTAGAATGATAAGGAAGTAGATAAAAACACATCTTGAAAGAATTTATACATCCCTTAATCTCGAATAGTTTAATTTCTTAATTGACAGAAAAGTATATTGTAAAGTGTGTTGCTGTTTTAGGCAGTAATCAGCAAAAAAAAATGTAGTTATAAAACACAAAGAAGAAAAAAAAAAAACCAACGATGAAAGTCTACAACAAATTTGTACAACCCACAGCCTCATTTTGTTTTTTTAACATTCACATTAATGTTATTTCTCATTTTAAATGGCTTTTTGATGAGAAATCTTGTAAAAATAATAAAAAAACTGATGAAAGTTAATTAAGATTAGTAAAATATTAACATAAAAGTGAAGGTGCAGACTAAATTTCAGTATATTGGGTATAGGTTTGTTAAGGATACTGTAAATGCTGGATTATGTTGCAAGCTTAGGAGTATTAATGAAAGAGAAGACATTTTCATAATTAGACATAATTTAATAAAAAAATACTTTAGAGAAGCCTAGTCAGGAAAATGAAAACTTTTCCCCACCAGAAAAAGCACTGCATTAAAATATATTAAAATAGGACAAAAATAATGATGGATCTAAAATTTTGTGGAAAGGGATAAAGAAAATTAAAATATGAAAATGTTCCCTGTGATGGTTTGTTCATACAACTGAAATTTAAATCTCTTTGGATGTCAGTGGATTTCAAAATGCACTTCAAATTTCTGTTAACAAGTAAACGAGGACAGTTGTTCGTTGCTTTGTGATAAACAAAGATTACGGACAGAACTGACATCTAGCTTAAAAAGCAATATTGCAGTGGAGCATTAACAGTTACACATTCAAACAATCTTTACACTGGTTATGAAACATATTTTGTTTCTGCTCAACATGGTGATGTAGCTTGCCATTGTTACAAAACTCAAAATATGAATTCTAAAGAGGATACAATACTAAATGTACCTCATAAACATAAAGATTAAAAAGTTTTATCCTTAGCATTTGAAAAACTACAACCATCACAGCACACGATGTTGATAACATGCAACCAGCATTTGACACATGTGGTCTTGAGTATGATAGCACAAAAAGGGTTAATCCACTACAGGAGAGGGATGAGCTCCACTACTACATAAGTGACACGCCTGGCTATAGCCAAATAATGCACAGCCTACTAGGGCATGTCTGCCACTGTGATACCTGAAAGACAGTGATTATAGCCCACAGCAGCGAATCAAAGTTCTTGCGATCACATTTACGCGTTGCATCATCAAGTTTCTTACAGAATTTACAGCCAAATAAATTCATCCCAAGAATGCTAAATGGATTGCAAGGATGAGAAGGTCAGACATAAGGAAGAGACAAACAATAAACCTCTATTGCTAAAATTATCATCTGTGCTTCAGTGAAGTCAGTTGTTCTTTCTAATTGCAACACTGAACTAATGTATTATTAGAATGCATTAAAGGTTTTCTTTTCTTGATGTTACCTAACCATACAGATATTCTATTCTGAGCTTTGCCTTAAACAGATGATGTGTGAAGTTTAGGAAAGTGAAAGCTTTACTTACCTGAATATAAACATGAACAAAACTAAAAGTGCAAAAAAGGTGGCGACATTGTCCATGGTGCGTAACATGACTACTAGTTGTCTCCGGAGGGCAGGCATGAATCGTACTAATTTTAGAATTCTTAACAGACGGAATGTACGAAGTACAGACAAGCCACTAGTACCTCCTTGCTGGGCTAACTCAACAATGCTAAAATAAATGACAAAAAATTCCTTCAGATGTTAAAAAGATTTTAAAGTAATAGGCCTTCATTTAAACAAAAAAATTAGCCCTCAATAAATATATTTTTGTAGTCTGTTTAATATTTCAAACAAAACATATAAAAAACATTTAAACTTACACTTACCTAAGTATTACAATAAAACCATCAAATACATTGAATCCATTGCTAATATAACCAAATAAGCCATAGGCACATATCTTAAAGGCCATTTCTGCACCAAACAGTACACAGAATACTATATTGCTGTATTCCAGTGTTAAAGTCAAGAGTTCATGCTAAAGTAAAAGAAAAATATATAAAATATCTTTGAATTTATAAAGTCAAACATTATATTTTAATTTATTCATGTGGCATTACTATTCAATGTTCTTATTTGGCTAACATTGTTTTATCATCTTTGGTGATCTAAATTTACAGATCTTTCAAGTTAAAACAAATTGTTTTTTTCTAAAACAAAAAAACTAATTCAAGTAGTTGTTCAAACAGAATTAGTACATTTTATAAAATATTTAAAAAAAAAATAAAATACAAACCGATAAAATTTGAAACAAACCTGTTCATGGTGCTCAATGCCCATGCTCAAAGTGTTCAGCAAGATGGCTATAAGTATACTCCTTTGAAAAAAATTACTCTCAACAAAAGTCTTCAATTTCTTTTGTAGACAATTTAGAATTTCTGAAAATAGCAAATAAATCCTATTATATTATATAATAAATAGAATTAAATAGTAGATTCTGCATTCTAATATTGTGTATTTTATTTATAATATTTACCCAAAAATTTCACATTTATTGTGAATGTAATTCATAACAAAATATCTTTTCTTACTACAAAAATTTTAACCAAAAAAAAAATAATTTGTATTTTTTTCTGAAACGTTGAGGTATAAAAGTAACTTAACACTGATTAAAGTTAACTATTTAAAAAAAAAGCTTGAAAATCAACTTGAAGAAATTTATTATGCATTGTATTCAAGTAAAAAAAAAAACTTTTTGATTAGGATAAAAAGGACCATTAAAATGTGGCTAAAACTATGATTAATAATTTTAAATTGAAGTTAAAAAAATAAAACTCCTATGTTGAGATAATCTTTTCATGTTGTATTTACGTTGTTAATAATGTTTTTAGTATTAAATCATAAATTTTTTACATTTAAACAAACATTTAAGAACAACAAACATGCAAATACTAAAATAATTGAATAAACTCTTATGTCTACAACTACTCTCTTAAACTCTTTATGCCTATAGAACAATAAAAACCATATTCTCAATATTGAAAAAAATAAAAACAAGCTTGAGCATAAAATATACAAATAATAAAATACTAATAGAAATGGTTTACTAGCAGACAAAAAAAAAAATAATTATGCGCATATCTAAATAATCACGGTATTCTAGAAAATACTGTTGTTAGAACCAATAAAATTAATTTTAAAAGTAAAATGAGTTTTCATATGAGACAGAATGAAATTTTCATGACAAAAGAGAATGCAGATTCCATATATGCTTTTGTCAGTTTTACAAAATGTAAATAGCATCAAACATTTTTCAAACTGCAGATTCCTACATTTAGAAAGAAAAAAACCAACCATTGACAGCATAAAGGACCTATGCTTCATGCAAAGGTAGCCAAGCATATTAAGTCTATATATAGGTTAAAAGGACAGTAGCAATGCCACAGAAATGCTAGTCATCTCATTTTAAACCAAGTGTTGAATTTAAAAAGTTTTTCATGTACTCAACTTCTAAGTTAAAAATACAAAATATTCTTAATTTACCTCTTACAACCATGATATACTGAAATTAACTACAATTAAGTATAACTTTAAAATAATCAATAAAAAATAAAATCCATGAATTTGTTGAAGGAAGTAACATAAATTTAATTAATTTAAATACTTATCTGAACCTTAAAAAACTAATAATCATCATAGGCTAGTAAGATTTTGGTCATCTATTTCTAAATATGAAATTATTGTTTTTTAATCAATTCACTGACCGGTAGTTTTGTAATTGATCTACAAAATTTGTACCAGTGGCAGTAAAAAAACAAAAAGCCTACTAGATGATTAAAAGTTTATTAAGTAAACACAATACATGTTGGCATGTTTGTGGCAGCTAGCAGGAATAATAAAAACAGCCAGGAAAGTAAGACTATACCACAAATATTACTTGATCTCATTGATACTCCTGACTCAGCTTTGCTTGTGTCTACATCTGAATCTACAGTGTCGCCACCGGCAACTATGATGCCAGATGGGTTGCATGAGGAGTTTCCATACTCGCCAGCGAGTTCTTTATCTCCAGTACCCACTCCTCCACTGCCCCCACAGCTAGTGGTGTCCTGGTCAGTCTGAGCTTGACCTTGACTTAACTGAAACACTTCTGTTTCACTTTGCATTGACATTTGTGTGGTTAGTTGTTTGTCACCAACCATATCCATTAGTAAGTTATCGGCAAACAGACCTTAAAAAAAATTTAAAGAAATTAAAAGTTGAATTGATTATAAAACCTACGACAAATGTTTACATACTTTTCTCTAATAAAACATACCTCTGGCTCTTTATAATATCTAAAATATTATTTCAAGCAATATTAAAAATACACATGAAAATAAATTTAAATATAATGCTAAATTGTTGATATCAAGAAATTTTAAAAAGTAAAAATAATTTAATTTAAATACAACAAATATTTTTAAAAAGCTAGAAAACAGTAAAATGATAAACGAAAACAGATTTAAAAAATTAGTGTTACTTCTTCAAGTCATTAAAAATTAGTTCAGTTACAATAAAAAAATCCAACAACTCCAAGAGTAGAATTCAAATGAAAAATGACATATAAGAGATTTTAGGAAGGAGGAACAGTATGGACTCAACAGAAATGTGAATCGTAGACACCTATAGAAAAAGTACATATCCTGATAATCTTATAATTTGTAAATTTGTAATGTTTCATAATTTAAATTCACATATATATATATATATATATATATATATATATATATATATATATATATATATATATATATATATATATATATATATATATATATATATATATATATATATATATATATATATATATATATATATAAATGTGGAAAAGTTGTAGTTAAATTTAAATTGGTTTACACTTGCAAATGATTACAATACAGTAGTATTAAAAACAAATTCTGTTGTATTGTGACATGGATAAACTTCAGATAGCCAACTTTTCAAAACATCCAATGGTAGTCATAAATTGTATAATTTAAATTTATTCATGTCCCAACAAACAAGCTGTAAAAGTGAAGATGGATACTTTTGTTAGCCAAAAAATAATAATAGAAATGGCTTTAGGATGCATGATGTTACAGCAGAAAAAACTGCCAAATTATAATTACAACCAAGGGGTGGTGGCTGTGCTTGCTGATTTTGGAAAAATGATGTCACGAATTTCAATATAACTATGCATGGATATATTAGGCAGCACTAAACTATTGGCAAAGTATAAGAGTTTTAAATTGCACATGCATACTAAACAAGCAGTTTGAGTTTATATTTCCAGAGACTACTTCTACAGAAGAATGGTTATTTAATATAAAAAGTTGGAGAATATTTTAAACAGTATTATTGTGTTCATGAATGAAACAACACTTTTTTTGTGAAAAGTCATTTGAATGCAACAACTGGTTTTAAATTAATTAAACAACTGATTTATTCAACATTCCTTTCATCTATTGGTATAGCAACATTATGCATAAATTCAATTTCAGGTTTTAAAAAACCAATGCACACTGACAATGAATTGTTACAAAAAAAAATTGACTAAAGTATATTTTTATCTAATGAAGGTTTTAAATCAGATGTTTAATTAATTTATTCAATGATAAAAGCTTTGCTTGATACATATTAATTTATCTTTTTTTAGAACAAAATATTAATTTAAGAATTAATATGTATCAGTCAGACTTGTAGAGAGCCTCAGATAGGAAGTAATTTAGAAAATTAAAAAAAAAAGCTTTAGCGCTCTTTAAATAATTGTTTATTTATTTTTACTTACTATGCATATTCAATGACTATGTATTTATGATTTCCACATGAACTAAAAACTTTTCAACCATACATGGAATTCAAAACAAAATAGAATTTTCAGCTTATTTCACATACCTAACAAAGAACTGAGGCACTTACAGTAATCATACACTATAAAACCAAGAAGGATAAACTTGACATGGGATTACCAGACTGCTAGCAAGTTAGTGTCTGGTAGTATTTTCTACTATACTTGAATACGTTAAATTTTTTGTAAAAACTTAACATAACACAATATATATTTTACTGAACATAAAGGGCTACAGATTTTAATAAAGGATAAATTTTACTTTTTGCTTTTGCTAAAATATCATTTGTGTTTATTAAAAATATTTTGTTGAATCTTTATTTCTGAAGAAACAGTTTTTATTTTTTTATAATAATAAGTTGGCTTAACATTTTAAAGTTCATTGTTTATCTAATGGTAAAAATGATCTCAATTGTAAATAAACATAAAATAAATTTTACTTTTATAATTAGTAAATAAACATAAAATAAAATTTATTTTTATAATTATTGTAGTGCAGAATAAAAATAACATCAAGACCTGGATTTATATCGTCATTTAAGTTTTGAAATATTTCAAACGTAAATTTGTTTCCTACAGTTTTAAACAATTTTTTAAATTGAAGTATTTACAAACTCAAATTCCAAACCATCTTCAAGAAATTATAAGCCACCACCCCATCAAGAACTCATATATAAAAATAAAAAACCAAAATAGCACTTAATAAACTTAATAGATGAAAGAAATATAAAAGCATGCAAATAAAAATGAAGCATGCAATTCAGATTTGTGCAAACTATCTAAAAGATGAGATCAATAGAAGCTGCAACACTCAGTGACTATTGTAGTACAGCTACTTTAAACCTCTACAAGGAGATGTGAAATGCAGCTACTACTAGTTAGGTGTACATATCAGCTTCTAGAATAATAAAAAAAATTGACTTAACATTACCATTTCCAGCAAAGCTAGAGACACCTTTAACTTATAAGATAGAAATGGTTATTACATATCCCTTTTTAATAAATTAAAGACCCACTATTTTAATAATATTTTGATTTTTTTTTTCAAATACATTTTTAAAACTTGATCATTGTAGAATCTAGTACTTAATTTTAAGTTTAAAAATTAACATGAAATTTAGAAAAAAGTTACTTTGAACCATATAAATAAAGAAATAATAGCTCATCGTATAGTTAAAAAATTTTGGAACAAAATTATTTGTTTAGATAAAGGGAGGCACCATGCAAGCAAAATAAAAATAAAATGTTTTAATGAGAAATGTTATAGAAAAATCTTGCAATGGGTCATATTAAGTTTGATTAAGGGGTAATAAATTTCTTTTCAATATTCTTACAAATGATCTCATTTTCTTTTTAAAATGTAAAGACGCATTGCAAGATTTTTGACAATATGTAAAAATGTTGAGAACAGCAAGCACCGCCACTCACTCACCTTTGTCAGCTAAAGACTGAGTTTTGCTAAGCTCATAATCCACATTTAGCAGCATATTCGATGCTGCTAGCACAGCATTTTTGGCTCCTTGGGCAGCCAGCACCTCTGGTAAAGAGGGCAGAATCTTTCCTGGGGCACTGGCCCCACTGTTGAAGGAGGATGTTCGGTTGAGCAAAAACGGTATTGTGAAGCTGAAGTTGGCGCTCAAGTGGTTCGGAGAATTCTGTTGGGACTTAAACAGCACAGGTGTGAAGGGATCAACCGAGAGGTGAGATATGGCCAAGGATTCTGAAGAAGGATTCAGACTGTAGTTGCTGCTTGGCAATACAAGGTAATTCGGTCTCCGAGGTGATGACATAGAATCAATGTCTGATTGTTCTGGGCTTGCCCTTGGTGCTTGCGGGGTGCTGGATGGTCTAGGTGGACTCTGGTATCTAACATCTGGTGTAACTAGGTTTACATGGTGTAGGTGTGTTGGTTGTGGGGGTTGGGGAGAAGAGGGAGGTAGTAGATGCTGATGTTGATGATGATGAACAGGTTGTGCATGAGACAATGAGTGTTGGCGTACAATAGAAGAACAGTGCAGTTGTGACTGGAGGTTATTAGTACCTTTCTTTTTGGATTTTTTCCTTCTCAAAGACAAAGATTTCTCGGGATTGATTTTCTGAAGTCCCCTAGTTCTATAATAAGCTTTAATAACTTTCCTCTTTACTCTTCTATACACCTGGGCAACTAGTTTGAGCAGTTCAGAGTAGCAGCCACCTGGCTCGGAGTTACTGGCCAGCGTGCTGCAGGACTGAAAGCGTTTGCGTTCTTGCATCATTCGTTCTGTCTCACGCTTCTTCGTCTCAGAAAACTGTGTGGCTATCACAACAAGACATAAGTTGATCATAAAAAAAGATCCAATCTGAAATAAAGTCATGTCTCCATTAATAGGTATTGAAAAAGTACATTCCTGTGTGCATTAATATAGAAAATATAAAGTGAGACACTAAAAAACATAAAAAAAAATATAAATAAATTAAGCCAAATATGGATTTTGTTTTTTATGGTAAAAGATCTAGATCTATATCAATCTATTTTTGGAAATCTATGTTTGCTTTATTTAACAATAACTATTATAATTTTTAGCTAAGAAACTTCAGCATTACTTACTACTCACCAATAATTATTAAAACATTAGTCAAGAAACATCTTTATCAACATTACTTACAACAATTAAAGCGACAAAATAAATCCAGTCCCAAAAGGAGTGAGCGTCTTGAACAAAATACATGATGTTCACCCAGCTTTCCAGACTGATTACCTGCACATGGGAAGTGTTAACTTACATTAATTTAATGTACAAGAAAAAGTAATATTTATAACTAATAATTAGAATCTACATAAAATTATTATCAGATCATAATTTTAAAAAATTACAGTTTAAGCTTGTTAGATCTATTTTGAAAATATTTGGGCAGTTTGGGAAAACTACAAATACATTAAAGATAAAAATTAATTTAAAATTTCTTATTTTTGTAATGCATGTTATATAATATATATTCTAGATCTACACCTTGAAAGAACGGATACAGAAATTTTAACAAAAGAAAATGGTTTTGTTGCTGTTGACTTGTTGCAGTTTATTTCTATATTAAATAAAGCGGGAGTGATCTCCCCTAAGCTTCCTCGAATATTCTTAAAGGGGGGATGGCAACTCGGGATATAGGCCACTTTTTCTTCTTAGTCTACCCTCCCGAAAATTTCAAGTGCCCCCCCCCCCCTGAGAAAAAAGTCTGGAAGAAACACTGATATAGACATGATTTTTAATCCATATTTAATTACTTAAACTTTTAAAAAATAGAAATCTCGTAGAAAAAAAGAGTTGTGCACCAAGGAACATGCAAAAAATATGTGTATAATAGTGTGCAATATTAGCACTTTATAAATTCATATTCGTTTTTTGAGAAATCGGAAGTAGCGTAAATTACTACTTCTGGTCAACAGAAATTACTCAAAATTTGACAGAAGGCAGACAATTAGATTTTTTTTTTACTTATATGTGAAATTTCATCTATCTATCTGAAACATTACTCAAGTTATAGGCATTTGAAAAATCAAAAGTAGCTTAAGTACCGTTTCCGGTTACCGGAAAATCGCTGAAAAGTTGCTACAGAACTACAAATTTGATATAATACTTATATATGAAATTTCATCACCTAGCTGTAACGGAACTCAAGTTATCTGTACACAGACATACACAGACATACACAGACATACACACATACATACATACACAGACATGCGGACATATTGCAAAACTATGTTTTCCGACTTATGGAGGTATAAAACGTCGAGATTTGTGAAAATCTCGATTTCGATTTTTTGCACGATTACAGTACTTCCTCTATACTTCGTATACGAGAAAGTAAAAAAAAAAAAGAATAAAATGTTTAAAACAAATGTTTAATCAGAACTTAAATTAGTATTAAATTTTAAGAAAGTATTTTGCAAAACACTTAGAACTGGCAAAAATATTAATAAATAAGGGGAAAATCTAATTAAAGTATGTTGGATCTTTTATATAACTACTTACTTGAAAAATTGCTACCCATGCTAGTCCAATATTATCAAAAGAAACTGCACCCATGAAAGGATTGTTGCCGTGTGGTTCACACTTAGTGTAATACTGATTCCAGTCAACACAGGATTGGTTGGTTGGAGTATTGTTACCCTCTTTGGCAGAAGCGTTGCATGTTATGCCTTCATATATATAGAGTGGTAGATTTTCACACTTGTTCATGCCTGACTCGTTATGCTTGCTACATATATACTCATTTTTATTGAGAACATGTTTTGGTGTATAATATTTTTCCACATAATCACTGAAAGAAAATTTTAAAATAATTTTAGAAATTATTACATATTTGAATTTGTATTGTTTTAATTGATAAAGTATTTTGGTGTATGTCTAAAACATTTTTAGCTCTGTCAGAAAATGTTAAAATAAATTTAATCCATTATAAGTTTTGCATTGAATAAATGTGTTTTAAAAAGTAACAAAAAAGAGTTTTTTGGCAGGATGAACGTAAATCTTAGTACTTACGGCACATGCATTTTATCTGGAGGTTGTAAAAAGCACCGATTTCGCAGAACACCAGACCACAACTGGACTCCAATGATTCCAAAAATGAAGAATACAAAGAAGCAAAGAAGGAGGACATTTCCCAACATTGGAAGGGTGTCGAGAAGCAGCATCACAAGAATTCTCATACCTAAATTTTGATTTAGATTAAGTGGCTTTTACAAAGGTAACATGGTATTCAAATTATAAAAACAAATAATTATTTTGAAATAAGGATACAGTTTTTTTGGAATTGCTCTACCAGCAGTTAGATCTATGTTTGGCTGGTTACAATTGTCAATATGAAATTCAAAAGTTAAAGCAAAGCAGAAGTATTTAGTAAATCAAAGTACGTTCAAAATTTTAATGGAAAAATACAAACATTTGAGAAAATATATTATATTTTTTTTTACATTGCAAAATCACTAAAAAGCCACACATTTAAAATAAAATAGGTACTTACTGGGAATTCTATTTATAGCCCTTAATGGTCGTAAAACCCTAATGGTTCTGATAGCTGATAAACTTAAGTTTTCAGTATCTACTGCATATTCGATAGTCCTGTGGGAAAATTACAAAAGTGATCATCACAACCGAAATAGAAAAATGAAAAATGCAAGAATAAAAGAACAGCTAAAAATAAATTTCATAACAGCTTAAATTAACACAATATAGTATGTTAATTTTATAATCGTATAATAGTTGTTGTTAATAAAGCCCAGCAAACACATTTTAAAACAAAGTTAAAACATGAAACTTTAAACTTTTTTAGCTTTTATTTTATTAAAATAAAATTTGGTGGTGACATATGCTTATATTATTGCAGTTATCAACAAGATAAATAAAATCTAAATCTAGTTTAGTTATTAAACAATGCTTTAAAATATTTTTTACTAGTATTAAAAAGGCACTCTCTTATTTTTGTGTCTTTCATAAAATGTGGTTAGATTATCGATATTACACAATAAATGACTGTCGTTGGTAATAAATAATTATATGATTTTGTTTAAATTGGTAAATCAATTTAAAAATCATCAAAAGTTTCCATTTATTGCAAGCAAAAACATCGAATGTATCAAAAAATTGTATGCATGTAAAACGGAATAAAAGTGTAAATTAGAAGTTTGAGATAAGCTACAGGTTACTTGGGATGGTAAAATAATATGATGGAATTTAATTACTTATTGTGGCAAAAGGTTATACAACTAACAACGCAAATGTTAAAATGTATGTGGATAGTTTTTAAAGATGTAAAAAAATATTAAAGAAAACATAAACTTATGAATTTTAAACTAAAACTACAAGGAAACTGGGGTGATGTTTGTTTAGTAATACCTCTAAGGGTATTAATTGTAGAATAACAAAATGAATCACAATTATTGATTGGATTAGAAATTATATTTGATAAACTTTTTAAAAATTAGTTGCATTCCTTGTGTTGCCATTCAGATCCAGAAATTAAACCAGGCTAATTATAAACTTTTCTTGCTTTTTTAATAACTATCTTTTTGAATCAGGTAGACTTTGATCACTAATTCAATTTCGTTGTCATCGATTAACTTGATTATTAAAAAATACTAGCTGCTGGTTTTAATTTAAAGTAGAAATCGAAATAGTTGCAGCAGAATAAGAAAATGTAGCTTGACCAGTTAAGAATCATGCATATTATATTGTAAAATGCAGAGGGTGGAGTTTTAGTTTGCAATTGTGTTGTGTGGCATATTGTGGTATATAGCGATGTTGAATAATATTGCAAGCGATTTAAAAATTATTATATTTTATTATTGTTGTTATTTGAATGGAAGACATTCATATGTCTTGTTTCATTATTAATTAAAGAAAAGTGATTTTTACTAAAAAAAAATCTAAGAAATTTGGTAAAATGCTAGTAAAGTCTATTTGATTTTCTAAACTTAAATGCAATAAAAACAAGTTAATTAAAAAAGTCTAGTGACATTTATGCGCAATTTCCTTATGTTATCTAAAAATAGCTCTGACGTATAATGCTGGGATGCGTTCAAGCTAGAAGAACGATCGGTTTGTAGGTGTTTATGTAATTTTAAAATTTGTGACCGAACGAGAGGATATTTTTTAAGTGGTCTGGTTGACGAGATATGGGCAAAAAACTGCATTTTTTCGAGGTTTTTTGGCTTTTCCGGGAAATACATGAAAGAAACCCGGAATTTTTATGGCCTATGCTCATCCTCGTAACTTGCTTAACATAATTGCTTTTGGAACTAGTCATCGATATTGCTTCGTTGAGGAGGAGATACTACTTAAAGCTGCGGACACACATCCGTCCATCCATCCATTCATTCATACATCCAGAAATGACGGGTTAATAAACGCAATTCTCCAGAATGGAAATTGCGCTAAAAAGCATAGACTTACATTGAATTAAAACTACCATAGTTAAAATGAATTTACAAAGTAAAGAGACGTGAATTAAAAATATGGCCTGCAGTTTACCCCCCCCCCCCCCTCCCCTTTTTAGCGCAATTTCCATTCTGGAGAATTGCGTTTATTAACGCGTCATTTCTGGATGGATGGATGGATGGATGAATGTATGGATGAATGTGTGTCCGGGCTTTAAGTCGTATCTCCTCCTCAACGAAGCAATATCGATGACTAGTTCCAAAAGCAATTATGTTAAGCAAGTTACAAGAATGAGCATAGGCCATAAAAATTCCGGGTTTCTTTCATGTATTTCCCGGAAAAGCCAAAAAACCTCGAAAAAAAGCAGTTTTTGGCCCATATCTCGTCAACCAGACCACTTAGCGACTTGAAACATGTACCAATCGATTCCTGCCATAATTTAGAGCAATATTGCCGAAGAAAGTTTTCAAAAATATCCTCTCGTTTGGTCACAAATTTTAAAATTACAAAAACACCTACAAACCGATTGTTCTTCTAGCTTGAACGCATCCCAGCATTATACGTCAGAGCTATTTTTAGATAACATAAGGAAATTGCGCATAAATGTCACTAGACTTTTTTAATTAACTTGTTTTTACTACGGTCAACTACCAAGAAGTAGCCCACGTTATTTCATAAGAAGTTGTCAAAGACATTTTGTTACTTTTTTAAATAATGACTTTTGACCTCCGTAAAAAGTTAATAGTCAGGCCTCATTTGGCTTAAACACATAGCTTGTGTAGCTGACTAAAACATTAGATCACACTCAATATAAGAAACATTATCTGTCTTAGGTGTAGGCTATATTAGATTGTAGCTAGAATAGACAGAAACAATCGTATTTCTAGTACGGATTTTGTTTGTGTGTATATGTGCATTTTGGGGAAGGGGGATTCCTAGAAAATTTCCTATACTTGAAAAATAATCTGATTGTAGTTTTTAAAGTGTTTGATAGTTATGCCTTCAAGTGGCGTCACTAGGTAGGGTGTCATCCGATGCGGTAAGGGAGGGTGTCCCCACACCACGCTCCAGTAATATATTTACGATTTGGTGTTATCCTTTTCCCCAAGATTTTTTAGGGTGTGGACTAACATTGTTTTGATGGTAAATTTTACGATTTCATGGGTTATATGTTTAGGATTGAGGGAAAACAAAGGCGGCTGACCACACTATCCCTTCATACTTCATCCCACCCCCCCTCCCTCCCCAAGCCCAGTGTGACGTAAGCCTAAGCTTACTTACACGCTTGTAGATAACAGAATTTCACGCACGGTACGCTCTACCAGATAGGCGGGATGGAGTTGTTAAGGGGTGCGGGGTTGGCGTGGCCTCAGGGCATGACAACATCACAACGAGGTGACATCATGTGCAAAATTTGATAAGGTAGACAACATAGTGGGCTCGACTTCATTACATAACGCCTATCTCGTAAAAATGACACGATTCTTTAATTTAGATTCGAATTCAGAGAAGAAAAAAAATGGTCCTAATTTATTTAACATGTAGGCTTATTCGATAACACTTCAAATTCTTATGTTGAGTGATTAGCCCAGTTTATGCCACCATAGCTCAATTAAAAGTTGGCTAATAAATAAATCTAATGTGCTGCCATTTTGTCATGGGTGGGCAACATTTAAGTTGTCTCCCCATGGAGGATATCTAAGGGCTATAACTAAAAATATGTAGCTATATATATATATATATATATATATATATATATATATATATATATATATATATATATATATATAATTCCCCACCCCTCACATAATAAAATTCTACCTAACCCCTGTGTATAAATATGGAGGTGTTGGTCTAGTGTGGGCCAATTTGATGATGGGGAGGGTGGAGTATGCCCCGTGTATTTATTCTTCGTTTTTGTTACATATGTTTGTATTGTATATCTTTCATATGTATCTTTCTAGCGAAACTACGCTCTACACTATACCATTAACCGTTGAGTTAATGAAATCATTAACCGTTGAGTTAACTAAACCATTAACAATTGAGTTAATTAAACTATTAACCGTTGAGTTAATTAAACCATTAATCCGGCATTAAATTGTTGAGTTCTTCTGAGGAGGTCAGCACATCTGACCCCAACACTGTAAACACATCTGAAATTATATTTAAAACCTCACTACATCTAACCTGATTCCAGCTAATTAAACTTTTAAAATGTTCTCCCCTTGTGTTATTTTCTCCTCACCCTCCCCCCATCCCCCCCCCCCCCCCCATCCCCCAGCTTGTTGCTACTACACACTGACACGCTTATCAGTCGCCCATTGCTGTTGCCTGGCAACCAGGCCTAAACATGTGTTTGTAAAGCGTGAAGGAATCACCAAAGCTTACATTAGCTGCAGGGGATCTTTCCTAGTGTAATGCAAGTCAGCGCGATACAGTGTTAATTTGCTTTAGTATTTCAGCTATCGACCCGCCACTTCCTTACCTACTTTTTTTCTGTTACACTAGGCGAATTATTTTAAGGACGAATTATTTTAATGAGGGGTCATCCAAAAATGACGTCTCGCTTTTTTTTTTTTTACTTTTACTCTCCTCCCCTATTTCCTTTCTTCACAAAGTCCCCCCCCCCCTAAAATGACGTCACACACATCAGAGTGCAACCTGCTAAAAATTACAGTTTAAATATATATTTTTTTAAAACTTTGATTTCTTTCTAAAATATATACAGTTTTGCTAACACTTAGTATATTTATCAATTTTTATTACAATTTACAAAAACAGTTTTAAAAAAACGCGAAACGACGGCAATAATTCATTTCCTAGTATTACTTTTCAAAATGGAAAAGTGTGACATCACAAAATCTGATCCCCATCTCACATCGTCACAAAATTACGGACCCCCCCCCCTCGCACTTGTACATATTCTACCCATATGCACAATTCAATACATAATACATTCTATACATTCTAACACATTCACACACAACATATCAGCATACATGTGTTAGAAATAACAGCGCATGTTATAATTATACACTTTGTTTTTACAATTGTAGACTAAATAAAATTCAAGCGCGTTTAGAGTTGAGTTTAAAAAAAAAATGTAATGACAACAAAGTACATTTCAGCTGGCTGGGTGGATTAAAATAAACATGCAGAGATGAACTAGCGCATGCAGAAGCTGAGCATGCAGTTGGTACATGCAGCGTGCGAGGAGGCCATGATTTGTGCCGGGGTTTTCTATTAGATTTCTTGTTTTTAACTATGCGCGCGTGAGGAGGAAGTAAGGCAGAGCGGGACAAGCTGGGTAGGAAAAGCAAAGGCAAAATAAATAATAAAAAAAAAATCTTGCAAGGCTTTATTTATGCTAGAAGAAATTAAAATAATTGTCGAAAAAACATGAAATAGTAATTAACATAGCTGTGGATCAATGTGATGTGATTAAATTACAAGAAACTAGGCATATCTATACATTTAGTATAGATCTTTCTATACGTTATAATTTCAGACTGAATAAACTGAATATTGTTACAGGCCTACATTTTACTGTAATACATTTTACAATCGCTTAAATTTAATCTATTAATATAAAATTAGATAAAACATTACAATAACTCACTGCTATAATAGTTTTAAAAAAGACAGCAAGCCCTAACAGTAAAAATAAAAGTCAATCTGTATTTGTATTGTACTTTAAGCTAGCCTACACTAACTTGGTAACATTGGTTAAGATAAGGGAGATAATTCAGTTAGCTCCTTGCTCTTCAGTTCAATCTAATTAGCGTCTGAAGAGTGTTCAAGTTTCAAGTAGTTTAAACGGCGAGCAATGCCAAAATGTTCGGTTTAAATGGGCAACAAACAAATAAGACGTTATTTAATGATCTTGGCATGTTTTGATGCTATAAAAATATAGACCATTGCTGGGAAGATGCAGTGATTCAACTTAAGGAAAAATATATAACTTGAGATAATTTTAAAATGTTAAAACAATGCTATTAGACAAAGGTAGCTCAAAATTGTAGTCACTTTAATAACCGTATATCTTCGCCTACTTAAGCGTGCAAATAATGCAATCAGTAAAAATGCTAAAATTGAAAAGCGAATAACAATTTAATTAGTCCGAATTCCAAAGTAATTAAATTTTAAAATAAAATAAAAATAATTTCAAACCAGCTTAAAGGTCTACAAGTAAAAAATAAAATTCCTCATGTTTGCTTTGAATTATTTAGATCTAGTTTTTAAAAAAGAAAACTTAAAAAAAAACTCATTTAAAATAAATTAGGTCCTTCTTAATAAAAATCACTAAACTTAATTATTGACAAATAACTAGAAACCGGTAAAATCTGGATCAATAAAGGTCTTGCTGGTATTGGATAGAGTGCGCATGTGTGCCGCTCTAGGGGAAGTGACGTACTAAGCAAATTAGCACAAAGACTTGACCTGACAAACACTCAAGGGACGTAAGCGTGTGAATACCATAAACAAAACAAAAGGGCTGATATAATTGGAGCAAACAGAACAAAATAAAGAAATAGTTAAAACAAAGTTGTCTTACTTGTTCACAATATACTCAGCCACTCTATAAGGGCGTGGATATTTCAAGAAACGAAAGAAAAGCTTGTTAGAATATTAAGTTACTGCCATGGGTTATAATTAGCATACATAATTAGTTTTACTTCAAGTTAAATATTGTTTTAGCTCTTAATATAATAAATATATCTTTGAATTTAGATTTTTTTTCTGTAATTGCCATTTTTGTAAAATTAAAAATTTAATGTTTACAATTTTAAATAAATATGTGCCAAACAGCTATACAATATTTTGATTAAAAAAATATTTTCTTCTATGTAGCCCGCAGCACGTGATATCGACGTTTTAATCGAAACACTTAAATTCCACGGACATGAGATTGGTTTCTAGTTTAGAGCTACTGGACTCGAAGTTGAACGGAAACAAAGAATACTCCGCAGTAAATGCTACAATTCTGACATCCGGTGTGTGATGGGCGTGTTTACTTTCGAATGCCTTTATTCTACTATCCGAGGCAGGCAAAACAATGCTCACTAGACTCGGGACCAACCCTGTTAATGAGAACACAAGGACAGCATAACAAGTCTAAATCATTGGTTAGTACACACAGGAATATTCGGTGGCACTCGCTGGTGCGATAAAAGGATGGATGAAAGTGGCGGACAAATTGTAGCGCAAACACCAAACAAAAAAAAAATATGGATTATCCTTTAGGATTATTATATTCCGTTTTTTTTACCCAGGCTAAATGGAAAAAGGTGTCGAACAAACGAAAGTTAAAGCACCAAACAAAAAGGAGTAATCTGGCGTCTCTTTCTTCTACCCACCCCAAATGGATGAATGTTCCGGACGAATGTTGCTGAGACACCAAACAAAAACCTTTAGGAGTATTTTAGATCCCTTGTTTTACCCACCCCGAATGGATGAATGTGTCGGAATAATTGTTGCTAAAAAAAAGCAACAAAACTTTACGATTATTCTGGCGTACCTCCTTTAACCCCCTCCTCCTAATAGTTTTATAACTCTGGTTGGGGTAAGTCAATCAAAAGTTCTTGCTTGTAAAGGTTTTGATCAATTAGTAAAATTTAACAACAATTTTCGTCACCAGTGACTAGAAGCTGAATTATTTCTGAAAATGATGGAACATTTATTTCAGAATGATTGAAATGAAAGGAAAAAGTTGAATTCTGCTGGAAGAAATACACAATAATGTATGAATTGAAAGAAAAAGTTGAATTCTGCTGGAAGGAATACACAATCATGTATGAATTGAAATCCAAATAAGCACAAAGAGAAATTGTATTTAAAAAAAAAGTATCCATCATCGAGCCTTGGCGGAAGAAAACTAAATAGCTCAATCGACGTTCGTGCTCAAGACATTTATTTGATTTAGTTTTTGAAGAAGAATTTGAATTTCTACGAAGAAAATCTGTTAAAATTTAAAAAAATTCAATATGTTTTTTTTTTTAAATTGAATGATAAAGTAGACTAGAATACAAATAGATTTAGGAATTCAGAAGGGATTTTCTTGTCACAACACACGCCTTTCTCAGGCAAGCTCTCCAGTCCTCATGTATGATAAAATCCTCATAAAATGTTTACCCCATCGCTTCACAACTATCATATCTGGCCCCGCATGCTTCAATAGATCAGTAAAAAAAACTTGCTGTAACGAAGATAGATGTCCAGCCATGATGAATGGACGAGGATCTGCCGGATCAGGTCAGATAACTGCTTGATCTTTTTTCGATCGGTGTTGTCTCCCATTTCAAAAGTGCTCGGAAGACTGAGAGAAGGTCCTACTCCAAACATTACAGCAACATACTAGGTCAAGGTCGGTCAAGATCACAAGGTCAGAGTTTATAAAAAAAAATTATCCAATCAACAGTGTACTTGGAAGTAGGGAAGCCATTTTTCTTACTTATAACTGAAGGTTTTATACATAGGTAAAAATATATCTCCATCTCTTGCACATTGTTGGTAAAGAAAAATATCTAAAAGGTTAACAGAACTAGCAGCAGCGAATGCGATTATATAAAAAAATCAACTGACATATCTGACAAACTGCCTTAACTACACCCATGTAAATCATCCAGTCTACTGTTTGACCAGCAATAGAATCACGATTTCATTTTTCCTGTTCCCAACAGTTAACAAATAATTGACTGACAACAATCTATCATAGTCTAGGGGTACCAAAAAATAAGTTCATCATCCGAGGATCATCTTCAAGCAATAAACACCATTTCCACGACGTTTTGCTTGGTATCTAATGGTGGAACATATCACCATTTCTAAAACGTTTCGCTGGATATCTAAAGGTGGAACATATCACCATTTCTACAACGTTTTGCTGGATATCTAAAGGTGGAACATATCACCATTTCCACAAAGTTTTGCTATGTATCTAAAGGTGGAACATATCACCATTTCTACAACGTTTCGCTGGATATCTAAAGGTGGAACATATCACCATTCTACAACGTTTCGCTGGATATCTAAAGGTGGAACATATCACCATTTCTACAACGTTTTGCTGTATATCTAAAGGTGGAACATTTCCCCAGCTAAGGGCTAGATAAGATGAAACAGAAATTGTTGTTAATTTAGTTTATTAGATTGATACTTAAGACACTAAAATAGTTCCCCGATTTTCTATATATGCTTTTCCCCTGTTATCATAGTAATTAAAACGTTTACATGTTCTTTAAAAAAACCGACATAAAACCATCAGATTTTTAAACATTGAAAATGTCAAGGTCGTGGAATTGATTTATTTTTTGAAAACACCACAACTGTAACAAAGCTTTTACAAAGTAATGTCGCGAGACCATAGAACGTCCAGTGTCGCGAGACCATAGAACGTCCAGTTCAGGAGTAAATGGAAGCAAGAATTACATCGACGCCAGTACCATTAATTCTTTCAGATAGTTTCTAAATTGGGGATGTCTTATATATATGAAAATGGTGCAGCATAACTCATTTTAAAGCGAAAAACTTAAGAGAAATTTTAACAACCAATTTTTTAAAAGTGATCTTAAAATCAACTTTACAAAAACAAATAATGATAGGAAGGACACCTTATTTAGATAGACCCGATGTTTACCGAGGTCATAATATCCATCAAACAATATTCTAAATGAACATCAACATACAAGAAGATCTAAATAACGTCTCAATTTTTCGAACTTTCTGTCACGTAAGATTTATATTAAAACAAGTCGACGTCTCTCATCTTTATTAGCATGAAATAAAAAAAAAATCTTCATTCCGTTGACGCTATCCCCACACTTTTTATGTCTCCATTGATGCTATCCTCACACTTTTTGTGTACGACGTATCAGTTCTGACAACATCTCGTTCTTTCATCAACCGCACCCCTTCTCTCCCCCTCCCCCAACAGAGCAGGTTTTAATTCCCATTTAGCGCTCTCTGAGATGTGACGTTATTAACACGTCATTTGATTTCTACATCTGCTGATATTGGAGCTTCGTCTCTCGCCTTCAAAGGACGTTGATACATGTACAAATGGATGTCTCACAATCTGGTGTATTCATTAGGTTAGCGTCTTCATGTCTTATCTTTGAACGTCTTTAATCGATTCTATGTTGACATGTTTTAATGTTTTACCTCTCCAATTAATTAAAAACAAATTGTATATACATCTTGAAGCGTATCCAAAGAATTTAACGTCGTTATATTTTCCTTTTGAAAATATTTGATTGGTTTAACGTCTTCGTATTTAATCATTAAAACTATTCGATTTATTGATCATTGACCTTATCCTTAAGCTTATATTCGATTAGTTTAGAGTCTTTCGCTTTCCGTGGATGTATGGCTACATCCCATGTAAACATTTAATCAGATAATTAGGGGAGTTTTAAAAGAAGAAGCCGTTTCCTAGAGTTTTCCGTCTTTGCATAACTGGCACTTTTATCATTCATTATGAAAGTACTTTAAAATGATGACGTCATTTCCGTCATCAAGAGTCTTGGAGTGATGACGTCAGTTTTATTGATTCGAAAAATTTCTGCTTAGACACGCGCTAATTTCTACACGGTCGAGAATACTTTGAACTAATGATGACACTAGAACAGGGATTCTAAATTTACGGTGCAGATACCCCCCTCCTTGCCAGATAGAAGTTTTAATCGGATCCTTAGCTCAGAGAAACCGTACCCCTGCTTTAATCAATTTAATTAATTACATTTCTTTTGTAATTTATGCACCCTGAGGTGAAATAATTAGACAGTTGATCCCTAAAGTTGACCACAGGTTGAGAATCCCTGTCACAGTGTATTGATATACACTAACAAACACACGTTTTTGTGGCTTTTAGCATTTAAAAAAGAAATGTAGCGTGTTATCTTTCATCTTATTAAAATAACATCGCAGTCATTAAAAGTACTAACTTTTTCTCTGCTACCATTTTAAAATAAATTCCACTAGCGCTTTTAAACTAAACCAGAAAAGTATTTATTTTAAATTTTAATATTTCATAGTTTTAAACAAAAAAAAAGAACACATTTTAAAGATTTCTTTTTCGATTGAAAACAAAGCTTTTCTTTTACGATTTCTGAGAGATTTAAAGCATTATTTTAAATCTTAAACCCGAGGAAGAAATACTTTTTAAAAACTATGTTTTAAAAATCAACGAAATGCAAATTTTTATTTCGCAACGGTTGGCTGTCGGCTGCAGAGTACAGGATTTTTTTTTTTTAAAGGCGAACGTTTAAGGTTGTATAGATGAGAGGAGGGAAATCGCCTTAGAGAACAGCATCCCCTTCAATCAAATGAGATGGACGCTTTGATATTCCCTTCTTTGAACTACTTATTGGGAAGATTACATTGAAACTAATTGGCCATTTAAATATTTTAGAAAGAGTTTTTTTACCAATCAATTCTTTGAGACGAAAAAAAAAGGTTTATATCTAACAAAAAAGGTTTCTTTTTTGTTGCAAGATTTTTTTCTAAACAGTTTATTTATTTCATTGACACGTGAAATTTGGGAGATGTCTGAGACATTCTTTCACGTTAACTTCCGATATACATTACGGAAAAAATTGTAAAAATTCGAAACTAAAGTTGTAGGAATGCGAAACTAAAGTTTAGAACTGCTTCAGGGTATAAGGAAAAAAAAAATTTCGACAGTTAAATATTTTTCGATACCTGACGTAAAAGAATGTTTGTTCTAAGTTAAATTTTTGCCAATGGTGTAAGGTTAAAGTTCTGGAAAAAAACTTTTCTGGTCGTTGTGGATTTTAGAAAAAAAAGATATACCTGAATATCCTATGTTTTGTGAACAAGTAAGAAGGTACAGTAATGTGCGGTAATTAGAAACACCAACAAGGGAGACAATCTGGAGTCGTATTACATTCATAATGAATAAAACACTTAACAAGCAGAGATGCAGGGGTTAGGGGCGGGGATTATGGGAGGAGTAGGGGGCGGCGTTCAAATCCACTTTAGAAAGATCAGGTAGAATATATTTAACATCTTTTCTGGAGCTGATTCTGGTGCAAAAATAAAGATGTACAGAAATATAGGTTTTAAGGTGTGGAGAGAATTATTTTTTTTGGGAAGAAAATGTAGAGGCTGGAGTAGGAACAATGAATGAATACACATTGACAATGTCATAGCGAGGCTGCAATACAGGACACTATCAGAGCAAGCTAATACACAAAACTGGTTTTATTTTTTTTCCAGGGCTGTGGTACGCGAATAGTAGAATGCAGGCAATTCGAAAGCTTTAATCGATGGTAAGTAACTTAAGTTTTGTAGAAATCTGACAAGTTTTTTTTAGACGTATTTTAAAAACTGAAATCACATTCCCCCACACAATCACGAAACAAAATGGCGGGAATTTGCACGAGTAAGATTTACTTTAAAATACATGAACACATTCTATTTCAATTTTGTTTCGTTAAAACGCAAAAAAAACAACTAAAAATCTAGATGTAACAGAATAAATGGTTACATTTTTTAAAGTTATTGAGATTTTTAAAATCCTAAAAACGTTATCATGCTAATGTTTTATTAATATTTAATTCAAACTGTATTAGTGCAAAAGTATTTTTGGGTTATCTCAAATTTAAAAAGCTTTTAAAATACATATAACATTTAAAAAGTTAGAGATATCGTTCTAATTGGAAATGAAACATTTAAAACTGATTAGTGAAAAACGTAATTAAAAACAAGTTAAGCAGAATTTAAAAAGAAATAACGATTAAATGGAGATTAACAATATATTTTTATAAAATTCTTAGATAATTCTTAATATAATAAAATAAAATATACTATCAAATAATTTTTACTTGTTAGAAATAAGTAAAATAAAACATAAAATGAACATAAAATTAATGAAATAAAATATCCTCATCATTTAAAAAAAAATAGTGCACCCATTGAGAGTTGAGGAAATAAAAAGTGCATTTCTCTAATTCTAACTTTACAATGTTGTACAAGAATTGGTTACCACGTGAATAGGTGACCAAATAAACTGGTGACACCAACACTGGTGACCAAATAAACTGGTGACTACAAGAGTTGGTGACCATTTAAAAAGTGTCACCAACTAGTGGTGACCATATAAACTAGTGACTATAAGAATAGATGACCACATGAGCTGGTGACCACTTGAAATGGTGACACCAAAAATTATTGTCACCAACAGCTGGTGATCCAGGAACCGGTGACTACGAGAACAGGTGACTTGTCAGCAATGTGAAATCCTGAACTAAGCAATCGTGATGAACAGCCAGCTAAACATCGGCTACCGAGTTATGAATAGCCTTCTAGCTAGGTATAACCTACCGAGTGATGAATAGCCCTTTAGCTAAACATCGGCTAGCCAGTGATGAATAGCCATCTAGCTAGATATAGGCTAACGAGTGATGAATAGCCATCTAGCTAGATATAGGCTATCCATTGACGAATAGACATCTAGCTAAACATCAGCTAGCCGGTGACGAATAGCCCATTAGCTAGATATAGGCTATCCGGTGATGAATAGACATCTAGCTAAACATCAGCTAGCCGGTGACGAATAGCCCATTAGCTAGATATAGGCTATCCGGTGATGAACCCTAGCTAAAAAACACATACTATGTAAATATCCCTGGTCAACCTAGACAATAAACACGAGCAACATCAAGACGAGGCTGCACTTGACCTATAACCTGAAATGACGTAGACGTCAACACACACAAACACACACACACATGAACACGCGTGTCACGTGACTACAATTTTCAAATCGCCTAAAACTTCTAACTTTGTAGGCAAGCTTTTAAACTTTTTCTGTAACTTTAATAAATTGCTGTATTGAAACGTAAACTAAGCTTATTCGCACGTAAATATAAATATAACAGCTAATTACAAGAACAGAGTATTTACGCTATGTGCCAGGGAATGATTTCGTTTTAAGTCACTATGGCACACAATAAACCGTATTTTTCTCAATAAAAGAGCTTTTACAGTTTGATTTCTTTTTAAAAGTTAAACGATTAAAATAAACGTGGCATTTTATTAGGAAATCTTAACATCTTAGAAAACTTATTTTTTAAACGTTAAGAACTTTGAAACAAAAATTTAAAAAATGAATGTATATATTGACAACTTCAGGTGAAATGCGTGTCCAACATCACAAACCCAAAAACAAAGAAAATATATTTGACCTAACTAAAACAAACACATCGTTATAATATATTTCGTGATCGACCGACACACACACCCACACACAAGTAAGCCTAGCGCCCTGCCTGGTCTATAAAAACAGCACATCAACATTCAACTACAGCAACCGCGATGACGTCACCTACCCGGCCACGACGATGAAGCAGTCCAGCCGGTTCCAGGAGTCCGCGAGGTAGGTGTCCTTGCCCCACACGCCCATGGCCACCATCTTGATAATCATCTCGATGGCGAAGAAGGCGAAGATGAAGTTGTCGAACCCCTGCAGGATCTGGCACCGTGTCGTCACGCACGCCTCGTCGTTGCACGGCTGGTACATCCCCAGGGTCACGCAGTTCAGGATGATGACGAACATGCTGATCCGCTCGAACCACGTGCGGCAAGGTTAAGGTCAATAGGGTTTGGATAGTTTTACAACTAATGGTAAACGCTGACAACCAACAGAACATTGGCATTAAATAAACAATACACACAATACAATACAATACAATACAATACAATACAATACAATACAATACAATACAATACAATACAATACAATACAATACAATACAATACAATACAATACAATACAATACAATACAATACAATACAATACAATACAATACAATACAATACAATACAATACAATACAATACAATACAATACAATACAATACAATACAATACAATACAATACAATACAATACAATACAATACAATACAATACAATACAATACAATACAATACAATACAATACAATACAATACAATACAATACAATACAATACAATACAATACAATACAATACAATACAATACAATACAATACAATACAATACAATACAATACAATACAATACAATACAATACAATACAATACAATACAATACAATACAACACAACACAACACAACACAACACAACACAACACAACACAACACAACACAACACAACACAACACAACACAACACAACACAACACAACACAACACAACACAACACAACACAACACAACACAACACAACACAATACAATACAATACAATACAATACAATACAATACAATACAATACAGTACAGTACAGTACAGTACAGTACAGTACAGTACAGTACAGTACAGTACAGTACAGTACAGTACAGTACAGTACAGTACAGTACAGTACAGTACAGTACAGTACAGTACAGTACAGTACAATACAATACAATACAATACAATACAATACAATACAATACAATACAATACAATACAATACAATACAATACAATACAATACAATACAATACAATACAATACAATACAATACAATACAATACAATACAATACAATACAATACAATACAATACAATACAATACAATACAATACAATACAATACAATACAATACAATACAATACAATACAATACAATACAATACAATACAATACAATACAATACAATACAATACAATACAATACAATACAATACAATACAATACAATACAATACAATACAATACAATACAATACAATACAATACAATACAATACAATACAATACAATACAATACAATACAATACAATACAATACAATACAATACAATACAATACAATACAATACAATACAATACAATACAATACAATACAATACAATACAATACAATACAATACAATACAATACAATACAATACAATACAATACAATACAATACAATACAATACAATACAATACAATACAATACAATACAATACAATAAACAACACACAATACAATAGACAATACACACAATACAATGCAATACAATAAACAATACACACAATACAATACAATAAACAATACACACAATACAATACAATACAATAGACAATACACACATTACAATAAACAATACACACTAAACAATACAATAAACAATACACACAATATCCCGATTTGAAGAGGTCAAATTGTTAATATTTTTAACATTCAATGCTACAAATTAATGCTACACATTGATGCTAAAATTATATATGCTAAAATGAATTATACAAATTAATCCTATAATGCATGATATAAATTAATGACATGTATAAATAATTAAAAATAAGTGATAATTATAGACGAAAATTAATAATGAAATTTAACAGTAATAATAAACATTAGTAATTTTGTGTCAATAAACACGATTTCCAAGCTTTCATTTAATAGAATGTTGGCTATTATTCACATTCTGTAACTCGTTTAGTCTATTATAACTCTCTGTTAGTCAACTGTATCAGATTTTCGATCGAAACAATGGGAGAGCAGTAGAATCACAATTAAAAATAACGTAACTGAAATAATAAAAAAAACAGTTAAAAACCAAACAAACGAAACAACAGAAAACTAAAACGGCCGTGGTTTGTGTAGATCTAAATTATGCATCACGGCAGCAATGACGTCACACTGTTGAGGCAAACCAAGGGTGATAATTCAAGTTAATAATAAAAGACATTTTATTGGTTGGACATTGTTACTGTTGAAGAAACACGAACTTAAGGTAGGTAGTTCTTGTTGGTACTGTAATAAAAACAGGAGCTGAAGTTAGGTAGTACCTGTTGGTACTGTAATAGAAACAGGAGTTTAACTTAGGTAGTTCTTGTTGGTACTGTAATAAAAACAGGAGCTTAACTTAGGTAGTTCTTGTTGGTACTGTAATAAAAACAGGAGCTGAAGTTAGGTAGTTCTTGTTGGTACTGTAATAGAAACAAGAGCTTAAGTTAGGTAGTTCTTGTTGGTACTGTAATAAAAACAGAAGCTGAAGTTAGGTAGTTCCTGTTGGTACTGTAATAAAAACAGGAGCTGAAGTTAGGTAGTTCTTGTTGGTACTGTAATAGAAACAAGAGCTTAAGTTAGGTAGTTCTTGTTGGTACTGTAATAGAAACATGAGCTTAAGTTAGGTGGTTCTTGTTGGTACTGTAATAGAAACAGAAGCTTAAGTTAGGTAGTTCTTGTTGGTACTGTAATAGAAACAGGAGTTAAATGAGTTTAAGTTGGTATACGGTGGAATCTTTGTTCTAAAGAAATATTTACTACATGTACGTACACTAGGATGTGATTTTTTATGTCCAGCATTAAATGAAAAACAAAATCAACCATCACTGAAAACTAAACAACAGGGGCAGGGAGATAACTTAGTTGAGACATAAATTAAAATTTTTGCTGCGGCATGAGGTGGAACCTGTCAATCAAAAATGTGAGGTGTTGAGTGCTGGTGAAAACAATATACACGATTTACAATGGAAGATGGGGACCGAGTGGTAGAGCACTCGGTTACTGACCCAATATTCCCGAGTTTGATTCTACCCGTCATTGATAGTTTTGGGCACCTGAATCGTGACATGGAAAGTAAAGGCGGGTGGACATAGTGCTGACCACGTTATCCCTCCTTGTGTCCGGTGGCACTCTACTTCACCTACCATATGAAACGCCAGCTCTGAATAGTAGTTTAGTTTCAACCACCTATGAATAAACTCTATTTGAAGAGTGCTATGGAACTATTCTGTTTGAATGAGTATTTTACTTCTCACCACACACACACAATTATGTGCGTTAAAAATGTGCTTTATATCTAGGTGAGTTGCGAAGAATGACAACACATTATACCACAGTCGTCGACAGTCAATATTTTGAATTGCGCAACTCATTACATCACCCGGTGCTGTATGCTGTGTGCATGACTTTATTGTCGGGTGTAGTCTGCTGAAAAAAATAATTGACAAATTACATAGAGCGAAATCTTACAGGTGCGAAAGGTGCAATTTAAAGGTAGACAGATTTACAAGTCTCATAAAAACAATAGCAGACTAAATGTTTCTAAGTACAGGTAAATCAGTTTGAAAGCTAATTCGATTTTATAGCGGTACCTAACACAATTAGTGAGCACACTTCTGTGCACGTGACCGAAGTGATGCACGTGAGTTCACACACCTGGCGTACTCACGTCTGTGTTGTTCCTTCACGGAGATTCCCGAAAAAAAAATGTTAAGTGATCGTTTATGATGCTAGATCACGTGAGTTGTCTTAGCCTAATCAACGTCTAGTAAATAATGACTGCCCTCAGCTCCTCACCGTGACCTTTGTGTAGGTGTACAGGGGAGGGCAGGGGAGAGTTGACGTCACATAGACGTACAGAAGTTGACGTCACATGGACGTACACGCTATTGGAGTATTAGCCGACCTGTAGTTAACGTCACATGGACATATAGAAGTTGACGTCACCTGACGTACATGATTATATGATAAAATACATACCTTTTGTTGCAGTGTTTAGTACGCCCATACACAGACCACACACCTAACCACACAGGTAACCACACATATCATCACACAGCTAGCCATCCGCATCCTGACAAAAAAAAACAACCATCGATTGGATTAGATATTGAGGATGATACAATGTACTGCTAATCAAGTGGAAAAATAACAGTAGAAGTTAATCCGTCAATTTTATTGATGTTCTACGGTTAGTTTAAAAAAAATGTGATAGCTAAGTATTATAATAACTTGTTTTAACTCGTGAGGTCTACATAAGGGACAAGTAAATAGGTAGCCATGATGGGTTAGTATTAGGTAGCCATAGTTGGCTAGAAGCAGGTAGCAATGATGGGCAACTGGCAGGTAGCCATGATAGTTAATATGTGGTATCCACCATGGCCTAGCAGCAGTCCACTGAAGTGGTCCTTTGATTTTGTCAGGTTATTTGTAAACACCTGCCAATCTTTTTTCTATAGTTTGGATAACTGGAAGTTGTGGGAGGTGGTGGGGGTGAGGTAGAGGTAGAGAAGGGATATGGTGAGTGATAGTTGTGGAGAAAACAGATAGAAAGTTTCATTATGAGGAGAGATTGGGGTGGTGTACTTTACAACATGATAAAAGGATTATTAAAGTAATTAGAAAAAAAGAATTTTGAAAAGGAAGTGATGATAGAGTAGAGAAAACAGAAAACAGGATGTTCAAGTGTGAGGGAGACTGGGCGAGAGAGAAAGTGAGAAAGGAAGAGAGAAAGAGAGAGAGAGAGAAAGAGAGAGATAAATAGAGAGAGATGAGAGAATTTAGCCCTCGAGTAAAATCAATAAAAGAAAGAACTTGGTTATAAAAAAAGAGCAACAAACAACAAAGGCCGGTAACTCCAATTTTCCCTCAACCAAATAAAAGAGAAGCCCGATTAGAAACAAGGCGCAGGTAACCAGACAGCAAGGGGAACAAACCGTGTTAACCCAATGTCTCAACAATGCCCCTAATAACTCCAAACTATAACGATACAATTATCCCAAATAAATAACGTTAACATATTAAGCAGAAGACATGATCCCGTTTATTTTTTCGGAATAAAAAAATATCACACAGCAAAAAAAAAAAAAAAACGGAGTTGTTTGTTTTTTCTATACCGCAAGGCTCAATA